CGACTAATTCTAGTGGCCTCAAGATAACAAGATAGCCTCGAAGAGGACAGGAAGCCGGCGGCTTGTAAAAGGTACCCCCCCACTCCCCCCCCCCCATTTGCCCTGATGAGCTTTACCAGTTGGATTTTAAAATTGAACAGTTTTCTCATATATAAATATAATTCATAATAATAAAAATAATTCACTGTGTCGGGGACAGGAAGCCAGAGTGTATTCATACACGTTAGGCTTATATCGAGGCCTCTTTTTTTTTTTTGGTGGCAAATTCCTGAATCTGGGGTGATGTACAAAATGGGGGGTAGAAATAGCCTAAGCTACTCTATCCCTTTGAGATGTATTTCTTGCTTATCTCAATAAACATACTTGATGTACAGCTCATTCTCATATTACCATTTATGTTTTATTTATATTTGTTATGCTCTACTGTCCTTTCCAATTCATTGTTATGCAAACTGCTATAATATTCATGTTAGGCTGTATTGTATGCTATGTATATGTCAAATGCGTCCCTACACTCAAATTGTAGCGTGCATATGTTTATCAACTTGACTAAAAAATAAAAATCACTGATGTATACTTGTTAAGACCCTAACTGTAACGATTTGTATAAATTTGTGCCAAATATTTCAGCATATCATGGGAATGAGGTTCGGATATGGGCACTACCACATTCCATAATTCACATACCGCTTTTATCCGTCCCTAATAACCCCGCCCGGGCGAGTAGTGCGTAGAAGCCAGTAACATTTACGAGTTTGGGACCACGGCTATGTTACCACTCTTCTATGCTGTGTATTTATGTATTTATGTACATAGGTTAGATCAGCATTTTTACAGACACTACAATTACCTTCTGCGGTTGATTGTTCAATAAATCACTGAACTATATGTTTAAGCCCTATCCATGTAGGACAGTAGAAAATGTATATATGCTGGTGAGCATTGCCAGTGTATGGTCACGTCTGGTAGAAATCAATAATACTAATATTAAAAAATAGCTCTTTCATGCAGTACACTTTACACGCAAACGTATCCTCATACACCCACACTTGTATACTATTAGATGATCTCATAGCTAGCTTTTGAGCTTTGCATAGCTTGTGAGGTTTACATAGCTTTGTAAACCTCACTTAGAGTAGAGTAGTAGCGTGTTGTTGGGTATACCTAAGTTTGTTAAATACAAACAAAATGTGTTAACTGTTTAAATTATGTTTTATTCACGTTCTATAGTTATTATAAATATTATATTAAGAAAATGTTACGTTTTTTTGTGAAAATCTAAGAAATTTTGGTTAATTTTGTAATTATTTTTGTTGTCAAATTTCGTTATAAAATATGAGTATTGCTAAGGAAAATTATGATTATTCATGTTCTATATTTAATAGAAATATTATAGTAACAAAAAATGTCATATTTTAAATTTATTTCCGTAATTTTAAAAATATTTGGGTAGTTTTGGGTAATTATACTTTTCTATTTTCGGTCATACTTCGTTAAGCAATAAGCCTCTAATAAAAATATATTTATTCACGTTTTACAGTCATTACCAAATATTAGCATAAAGTTAACTCTTAGTGTACATACACCGAGAGCGGAGTGCACCTGTCCTTAACTTGGTACATTGCCCATGTGCGAAAAAACCTTAAAAAGATATTATTTAAGGTTGCCTAGTCGATCCTCGCCCCTTAATCGTGGTAAGTACTTACCAATCAGAATTTACCTATCAGTGACGACCAAGGAAAAAAATGAGGTCTATCTCTTTTAATTATACAACCCCCCCCCCCATCCGTATAGCCTTGTTGCAAATGTTGCAATAGAATTTAACTACCTTATTGTAATGTTGGAATTGTTAAAGTGTGGATGGAAGTAGTGATATTATTACAAGACGTACCTTTCATGCCGGCGAGGCACCCAGACTAGTTGTGGTTGGTATAAGCAAGGTAGTGGTGGGCACTGAGCAGGCAGTGATGGTGAGCACATAGTTGGCAATGGGTGAGGTTCAGTAGCACAACCGGGCCCGCACGACCCGGACGTTTGTTGTAGACGCTCCTCCCTGTGCACGGCTTACATGTCTCAATATCTCCACGGACTCGACTTGTACGCACGATTGGAAATGCTGAAGCAGAGACACCAAACACTAAAGTGGATGTTAACGTCAAGTTCAAGGGAACTCTGAAGTTGAAATACTAGCCACTGCTTAAGTACATATATAATAAATCATTATATTATTTTATATACTCGGATCTGGACTTATAGTGCGACGTGCTGTCCGTGATACGTTATCTGTGATAATTACTGATAGTTTATAAGGCTAATTTTTTACATACAGTATATATATATATTTGAGTGTGAGACACTTGCATTAGAAATTGTGACCAGGATGTTGCTGGACTTTGAGCCGGTGTGGGCAACCAACCACCAATGGGAGGTAAGATATATATTGTTTTCTTTTGAGCCTTAATTAGAAGCACATTAACTAGTATATTTTCACTTCAATTGTACGTTTATCTAATTGGAATTGCTGTGTTAAAGTTGAAAAGTCTTTATGAAACTGCTATTTAGTTGTCGGTGACCGTCTCCTTTTGAAGGCGATTCTTTAGCTGTTGGAGCTCATAGGTGTTCAGGCAAATAGTAACTATGTGAATATCTATTGTTCATTTCACAATATTTACAGTTTCGCCTATCATGATGATGATCTCTATTTCCCAAGCATTATGGGCAGCCTATTCGCGGTCTGCGCTATTCGTTCTGGGTGTCTGTACCCGATGACATCTCGGTAGACCTTCCATATTGTAGGTTTACGGGCTATTCATGCCCGTACCACCTCTTTGGTGGCTTAATCTCTCTCAATCAATCAATCCATATACCTGACGATTAAATGTGACCTCAACACACTGTATACATTTACTGAACAAAAATTCTTCCACTTACGGGGCTATTCATGCCCATATGGGTGGCTTAATTTTCATCAATCAATCAATCCATATAGTACACAGGGATGTGTTGGAAAGATGTGCACGTTCCCGCTAAAATGCTTCCATCCTCGTTTTATCATAGTTCTTTAAGTGTAGTAGATTGGTGCTGGTCGCGATTAATTTTATTAGCCTTTTCATAATCTGACTAGCGAGAGCAGTTAATTGACATTTTACCCCATAATCAAAGGTTCTGGAGTAAATGCACGGAAGTGATTAAGTAATCTTTGTGCAGGCGAGGAGTCACAATAACGTGGCTGAAGTATGTTGACCAGACCACACACTAGAAGGTGAAGAGACGACGACGTTTCGGTCCGTCCTGGAGCATTCTCAAGTCGATTGAATGGTCCAGGACGGACCGAAACGTCGTCGTCCCTTCACCTTCTAGTGTGTGGTCTGGTCAACAAGTAATCTTTTGATTTGAATGCCACCAGCGGCTGTTAGTTTGTGTGTGCACCCTATGAACAAGTCTTGTGAACGATAGCGCAAAAGGACTAGAGCACAAAAGATCTTAATCAGATCCCGGTGGCTGTTTGAAATTAACTTTTATAGCTGCACACCTTGTAATGATATTAACGGACTGTGTGTGATAATTTTCCTACAATGCGTAGTAATATAATATAGATATTTTGTTCTACAAAATATCTATATTGCTATAATGTGTAGTAATATTTAAAATAATGTTAAATATTTGATATTACAAGGTAATATAAATTGTCTATACAGATATTTTCATCGCCTTTGTATTTCTTTATGTACTACAAGCGAAATCTGAAAACTGCAAGAATTTGATATTTCGACCTTTACAATAACATTATTTGCCATTTCATGAAGCATAAATTTCGATTCAAGTGGCTGTAAATTCCATCCAAAATCGTTGGTTCCACCGCGAAATACTGTAGTCAAATTGTTAAAATTTGTATTATCGTTAACACGTATAATTCTATTATAGGATTGATTTTAATTCTTTCTAGTACGTGATAGCCTATCAGTGGCGTTGTATATATTAAATATTGTACAGAACGTCATTTTAGATATTCTAATATTTGACCGTATTGAGGACTGTACCCTACCCCAGTTCTGAGCGCTTTAGAGTCCATCACTATATTGTTGGTGCATTTAGTTTTTAATAAGTAAATTATAAGGGACTGAAATATCAGGGTTTTGCGAAAGGAGAAAAGATGACACTAATCCCGTTATCAGGAATTCATTTCTTCTAGAGGCGTTGGTACCTAAATTGTACAATTCTTACGACCTCGAGTAGTATATCGCATATAGACCTATAAAACCCCCAACGGCCAAAATATGATGCACTATAAATCATAGCGAGTCGCAAAATTGACGGGTTCTAGTTTTATGCTCCTGGGTCCTCGGTTGGGTTTGATTCGGACAATTTAATACATCATTTTTGTGACATTTGACGCAATTGGGAGAATGGGCGGCATAAAATATTGGAATTTTTGTTATACACAAGTGGGCACAGGAGAATAAGTCTTGGGTCTTTTTTTTTTTTTTTAGGGATGTGCCACACAATATATATAAAACACATTTTATCTCTCTCCTTTCAGGATACGTTAGGCCAGGTCAGGTAAGACAGCGCTGACGTAAGGGGTATATGTTTTTTTTCAAGTCTTAGACCCTACAATGAGGTTTCCCCTCCCAGTTTTTTCCCCTGGAACGCGACCTACTAAGCGGTTTACATCCAGGTTCCCAATTACTGCTGGGTGAACAGGGGTGAACCAGTTAAGTTCTGGATCCCAGTCCAGACCTAGGTTACACTTAACACGTTGAAAACACAAATAGCCTTTGATATGAAACGGATATTTTCTCTAAATGAATGTCACTCACTTTTATTAGTGAAGAGCATTTTCATGCGTTTAGATTAGTGATAGTTTAATTTTTCACATCTTGCATGCCCATAAGTAGGTTCTAGAAAATAGTTGCAAAGACGGCAGTTGCAATTTATTGCAAAATATTGCGTATATATAATGCTATTAGCTTGTTAACAGGTGTTAACTCTGTTCCCAGCAGGATAGCGGGAGTCAATCACAGTCGACGGAAGAAGACAAAACTCCCTCCTACCTGACTTCCCTGACATCAGACGACGAGCCAACACGTTACGACCCAGTCCCACCAGAAGTCACGCCCTGTGAACTGGGCTTAAGGTCGTCCCAACAGGTATACACGACCTATATTAATGTACAAGTGTTTTATATACAGTATTCTCTTTCCTGTTGTATGTATACCAGATAGGGTACTCGGCAGAGCCAGTTTATCCGGTTCCCTGGTATACCCCCCCCCCCCCCCCCCCACACACACTTTCAAGTGTAGATATGATAGAGCCCAGTAGGCTCGGGAACCTTAACACCAGTAGATTGACAGTTGAGAGGCGGGACCAAAGAACGGCAACCACAACTAGGTGAGTACACACACACACACACACACACACACACACACACACACACACACACACACACACACACACACACACACACACACACACACACACACTTACACACACACACACTTACACACACATACACTTATACACACACTCAGGGGCCTGGTAGCCTGGTGGATAGCGCCCATGATTCGTAATTCTGTGGCGCGGGTTCGATTCCCGCACCAGGCAGAAGCAAATGGGCAAAGTTTCTTTCACCCTGACTGCCCCTGTTACCTAGCAGTAAATAGGTTCCTGGGAATTAGTCAGCAGTCACGGGCTGCTTCCTGGGGTGTGTGGTGTGGGAAAAAAAAGTAGTGGAGAGGCGGGCCGAAAGAGCAGAGCTCAACCCCCGCAAACACAACTAGGTGAATACTCCCTCACTCTCCCCGTCCCTTAGCACACGCCTTCTCCCCCCATGCTATAACAATCTTTACACATCTATATTCAACCCGTCCCCCCCCCTCCCACCACACACACCCACACCGTCACAGTCTCCCACTCACGCCCCTTTCAGATGGCCCCCTAACACGCACTTCCCATATCCCCACAACAAACACTTGTCTCCTCCCAGCGAACACGCGGTTCTTCTCCCTAAACGCTCCCTCCCAATCTTCTCCCAACACACATGCACCCCTACTCCTCTCTGATCAGTTTACTATCACTACATTGTCCCCCCCCCCCTCCTCCCCCCCACGCCCTTCCCCCATAAATGTAACCAAAAGGTTGGGTACAGAATACACCTCACCTGAACATATTTGAAAATCATTAATTTCATTTTTTATACTCGGTGCTAAAGTCTACGGACTCGATGTAAAACGTTTAGTGCACACTCCATGAAGGAGGGGCGTTGGGTTGTTGTTTTTAGATTCAGCTACTTAGAACAACAGTTCCAAAAGTAGCATGGGCTATGGTGAGCCCGTAGTGGACTTACCTGGCACAGAAACGGGGCTGTAACGGGCGTTGGGACTGTACCCACTCTTTATTGGGGGAATTGGAACTATCCCTACAACACATCCGTTAACATGATCATTATTCCTGTGAAGTTTAGTGAGGTTAACCCCATGCGGCTGGCCTTCAATCACACACACATTCATTCCAGCGATAATTTTGTGTAGTACATGTATTTAATTTGAATTGGTGCATGGTTAGTTAGAAACTTGTGCTATAAACTTTATTATTTTTGCAGCGTGCAACATCAGGCTTCGGCGAGTTAGTGGATACCAGTGAAGCAGTGACGAGTGACTGTGGGTCCTCGAGCATGCGCGGTGCTGACCCCTTGCACCGAACTGCATCTCGCTTCAGGTAACGCTGCCTTATTTAAACTAATGTTGCCATATTTATATTGCATGTTAAAGTATAGATCTAAAAATTAACAGACAACTGATGAAGCTTCATCAAATAAATTATTGGAGGGAGGTATTGTGCTAGATAAATTTACCACATTGGTCTAAGTCCTCGGCTCACAATCGAAGAACCCGGTTCATTCCCCGGGCAGGACGAACTGCTGAGCATGTGTACTTGTACCCGATACCTCTGTTCACCTAGCAGTGAAACAGGAATCCATGAGTAAACCGGTCGTTGTGGGTTGTATCTTTGAGGTCAGATTAGTTGGCTGATGGGGACCTCAAAGGGACCTCATCCTGTCCCCGATAAAGGTAATGATTTAAAGAGGAATTGAGGGATCAGGGTTATAAATAGCATGCAGGCAATGAGTCACAATAACGTGGCTAAAGTAAGTTGACCAGACCACACACTAGAAGGTGAAGGGACGACGCTCGGTCCGTCCTGGACCATTCTCAAGTCAATTGTCACACTCGACTTGAGAATGGTCCAGGACGGACCGAAACGTCGTCGTCCCTTCACCTTCTAGTGTGTGGTCTGGTCAACTTATAAATAGCATTTTGCATAGATGAGAAATTGATAATTCCAAAGGGCAATTGGGGTAGACACACACACATAGTCCCCCCCCCCCTCCAAGATAATTCTTTTACTTCTATATTGTTATGGAAGGCAAGATATTTGGCTAAGAGGCCTGAACGGTGGTACATCATTTTATCTAGAGCACTAAACTTGCACAATATTGACTTGTTCAAAGTGTTTAATATAAACAATGGAAAAACACATTCTTAAAAATAGAAATGAAATGAGGAGGGTAAAACTAATAATACTTTGGATTACCCACAGCCGCCTTCACGAAGAAAGTGAAATAGAAGGCAGCTTGCAAAGCAGTGACGAGGATGACACTAGGCTTTCATCCCATGCATCTGAAGCTTTCATTGATATCGGCTTACAACCAGGGCAAGATGACAACCCCTCACCTGGCCAACATGAAGTCAAGATGCTCATCAAAAAGATACATTCCATCAAGAAAAAAATAAGGCGCTATGAAGAAGAATTTGAGGCTACCCACGGATACCGCCCTTCACACAGCGAGAAAATGAAGCACAGAAAAACTAAGAAATACATGAGTGAACTTAGCATGGCCAGTATAGAGCTCAAACGTTAGTATTTTATTTAAATGTCTAGTTCTTGTCATCTTAAACGATTATTTTTGGAAAGACTGGAATAATACATTTCTTATTCATCACTACATCATTATAAAAATTCTACTTCTATTTTCAGAAATGAAAGATGATGTTGATGGTTTGATGTTTGTACCCATTGTGTTTCCATTATCACTTCTCCGGTGTCAAGAGTCGACCAACCCAAGTGTAAGATCCAATGGAACCGGGTCCCGTACTGCAGTCACCTTAAAACATGTTGAAGACAGATTACGAGAAAAGCGGTCGGCTTTAGGCCGGCCAGCTGAATTACAGGACATGAGTTCTGTGGAAATGCAGGAAGAAAAAACAGACCTACAAAAGGCCCTTCTTTATTATGAGTCAATTCACGGACGACCCACAAGTCGGGAGGACCGAGACTTGGCGAGGCCACTCTATGACCGTTATCGCCAAGTTAAGAGGATTGTCATGAGAGCATATGTAAGTATCCTAATTGTGTGTATATAATATGTACTTTGATATATAAAAAAATTAAGGATAATTTGATGATAGATTAATTTATTGAATTTGTATTTTGCAGAGAACAAGTGAAAATCTTGCAGAATTGCCTCCAATTATTGAACATGTGGCTATGGATTTCACATTAGCCTCACCTCAACATCGCAGTTCCTTACAAGGAGATGAAATAGAAAAACTAATACCAACAGCACCCACAACCCCTCCAGGCCTTGAATCTCCACCCATGTTTGATCCTTCACGAACTGCAACCACTCGGAAGGATGACCCAAAGGATGACCCAAAGGATGGGCAGCAGACAGTTGCACTCGGTGACCTCCATGCTCTACCCCTAAATGAACTGAGAGAAAGAAAGAAGGAAGCACGTGAAGAAAAGAAGAAATTAAGACGGTCACTCCGAGAATATGAAGAGCAATTTGAGAGAGAAATGGGCCATAAAGTGCATAAAGAAGACAGAGGGCCCATGGAACAGATGTATTTTGATTACAAGCACACTAAGGCAAAGCTGAGGCTCCTTGCGGCTCTTCTATCAAAACATGAACCCCTGAAGTTCTCAAGGTTTGGCTAAAGTTTAATCACCCTGTTAAGTCTCACACAGAGCTTAAAAGTATTTATAGGAAAACCAAATGATGCCCTTTAATATGTAACTGATTGTGTGACTGTATTGTGTAAGATTGGTAGGCACCTCAGTTGAAGTGAACTTGTACTGTTCTGGTGTGTGGGTAATGCAGGAGCTGAAATGTTATCAAAATTACCAATAAGGTTGAGTTGAAGGATCTATAATGGGTTACAATTTGAATGGTTTATTGGGGCACATTGTGCCCAATTGGCACAGTATGAAAGAGCAATGCTTATTAGACAAGAGTCAACGTCATTAACGGTGAATATGTTGTTGATTCAATGTCGAACCAACACATGTTTATTTTAAGATGTTGTTCCCACTGGGTACATACATTGGCCAAAAATGATGTAAATAATGTAATTATGAGATGCATGTATTAAATATGATCTTTTCAGTTTGATCAGGTTAGTGAATTGCAACAAGTTTGTGCACTTTGACATTTTCAGGATGAAAAGATGCTGTTCAATGAGAGATTTGTCTGGTTCATTTAGACTCAAATATACAAAGGCTTTCAAATACAGAATACTTGAACTATATATATTCCTTGTGCTACGCATTAAGGAGCATTACTGAGCGTGTATGGAGTTAGTAGTTCGTTAAATGCTGTGAAACGTTTTTTACTGTATATACTTAGCAGTATGTGTGTGTAAGAATTAATGGTGATGAGTGGTTTGTTATTGTTGTGGGTGTACTTCAGGGTTTTGTGATGTCACCTTAGTTATAAAATCTATACATGGGTGTAGTTATGAGGGATGCTAAATTAAAAATATTAGAGAGGTGTTAACTTAGTGATGGAACAGGTTTAAGCAATGAAAGTATGTCAAATTTGGTGAATGCTGATGATATATATTAATCTTCATATATATCAATCTCTTTAGCAGATTGAGAGAGCTATGTAGATTTAAATTAGTTATCGTGTATGGAAGACAAAGTGAATGTGGCCGAGAGAAAAGGAAATTGTGTGAAATATATGTGAATGGTAAAGTGGCAATGGTGGTAGATCAGTTTGATGTATGATTGCTAATGGGTTGGTGGTGGTGGGCTAAAAGCCTATCAACTGGGAAAGGGTGATAAAGGCCACCACAATGACTGACACCAGAAAGTCTACTTTAGTCCTGAACATAGTTTACGACCAAAGTAAACTGTGTATACTCAAAGCAGGTTACACAGTGTATATTTGGTATCATATGGATTGCCAATTGATTAGTTTATTTTCCACCACCTATATGGCCAGTTACATTGTTAACCATCATGTATAATACTCATATTTTTATTTATACAAAATATTACACACACTCGCCTATATATTTAAAAAACACTAATCACATGGAGTAAGTTATTGACCAATTAACCACATAGAGCAGTGACTTGATTAATGCATCTACAATGGTTCTTCAGTTATAATGCTAATCAATATCTACAGATTATTCATTTTAGTTTGTCGTCCGTAGAATGGTATAGTTATTTCTGTATAGTTACCGAGCTCTCGCTCACAGGCGATTGAAGTGTGTTTAAATTAAAATTTTCTTATATATTGCATATGTTTTACATATTAAATTTTGGGTACCAGTAGTGTTTCAGTATTCAGTAAATATTTACAGTATTCAACCTCTCAACCTACACGGGAGACATCTCCCGTCACGCAGGGTGCAGTTGCGCCTCCACAGATCTCCAGTATCATCTTTTGATACTGGTAATGGCTCAAAAGGGCCACCACTTACGGGCTATTCATACCTGTGCCACCTCTTGGGTGGCTTAATCTTCATCAATCAATCTCAACCTAGGGGGTCTGAAATTGTCGAGTATGGGGCATTCAAAAAATATAATGTCCAAGAGAAAGTACGTGTTCACTTGATTTGGTCTTGGGCTATTAAGGCTACCACAGTAGTTTACTAACCACCGGAGGGTTATTATAATCCTGAATGTAGTTCAGAATGCTGGTAAACCTTAGTACACACACACAGGTGGGGTACCCCTCTGTGTACCCCACCTACACAATATAAGCAATGGATAGGAAAAACAAGATGGGAATAGCTGTAACCTGAGGTCAGTATGGAGTAGTGGGCATCCATCAGTCTCGGGAGACTATAGAGTTGTGCTGTGGTTGTCAGTCTGGAGTGGCCTCTCCAGGGCACAAATCCAGGGTAGGTTGATATGGGGAGAAGCTGTCACCTAAGCAGGTCTTCCCTCTCCACGGTGCTGAAAGTCTCCAATGGAAAGGCAAACACCAATAAGATTGGTTCCAGTGCTATCGCAGGAACTGTCAGAACGAACTGCCCTAGGGGCTCCAGCTCAGGAGATGGAGCTCCTAGGGAGTAATAGTTTCCAATTTCTCATACTGTACATGGTTACAAGATGGTGTGTGGACAAATTCAGTTAAAGTAGGAATGGACAATCTGAGAAACGTGTCATGGTGTGGAGAACAGGGTATGGAATAGAAGTCAGAAATGTGGCGTGCAAAGTTAGTAAATTGCAAAATAAAGATCACAATGAGATGGTTTGGGCATGTTGAATGAATGAATGAATGTAGACTAGTGGAGTTGTATTCAAACTAATTAGATTATATGAGAAGACGGTCTAAGGCGTGAGAATAACACAGGACATGGTACCGGACAAATTTGGCTGGAAGCAGTTTGTAAGGTGTAAATATATTTGTAATATTAACAATTCATGAAGCACACAAGTACACCTGGTCCTATAAAGCAGTGGGTTGCCACAGTGGATGACTGCTGGAGTGTGCAGCCTGACCTTGCATACAAAGACCCCAAGCTTGTTAATCTAGCTGCCAAACCCCCTGTTTATGAAAAGTGGTTTACGCAAAACTTACAACTGATGTTCTGTAAGCACTTCCAGAACAAGTGCTTCACTCAAGTCCTCTGTTAAAACCACAATTCTATAAATGCTTCACCCACGTACAGTTCTTCAAATACAAATAATCTCCAACAAAACCTTAACACCTAACCTAACCTATGCCTAGCTATACATAGAATTTTTATGTATAATAATAATAATAGTAGTAGTAGTAGGCACCTATCAGTAGTAGGTATCCATCAAAAATGTATAATAATAATAATAATTTATATGAGAACAAACCAATGTTAAAATTGATGAATGCGTCTGGGAGGACGGCTGCTGCTATGAACAGCCTAGTGTGAGGGCGGGTTGGAGTGTTGTAGTACTTATCGGTGATGCTAAATATAGTACTGTACTCTATTGTAAATATAGTAAATGGACAAATATACTGTATATATATATATATATATATAACAAATATATACTGTATATGATATGAATTATAATTTGGCCCTGGAGCCCAGCACTAAATAGTTCTTATTCAGAGCTTTTTTTTTTTTACCCCAAATTATAATAATTTTTTTTTCCACCCTGTGCTTATCCTGTTTCCCCACTTGTTGGTTAGGGGAGTTATAAGTAATGATAATATATGCATTAAGGTATCTATTTTCTAAACAGTGATGTTTTGTCTTTTTGAAGTCTAAAATTTCTGCTTTCTGAAGAATTGCCCATAACAAACTGTGTAGTGACTCATTAAAATATACAAAAGACATGCAGTAATATTCAGGTGATTAAAATGGTCTGGACTTATCTGCATTGATGCTTCCAAATATATTTTATCCATATAATTGCTGAACTGTGCTAAGTGTAAGGTACCTGAATTTAGCATTAAGGTACAGTAGCTGTTTAGACCATGGGGCATGAAATCTTTGAATTTTTTTATGTATATGTTTTGACAACTATACCCCTTGCCCTTTGTTTGAGACGTGTATAAGTTGTTGCAGACGACGAGTCACAATATCGTGGTTGAAGAAATGAAGACTAAACCACACACAAGAAGATGAGATGAGGACGTTTCGGAATGTCCTGGATCACTATCAAATTAATTGTGTTGATATCAAGAAGACAGAAATGTCGTAGTCTCCTCATCTTCTGGTGTGTGGTTTGGTCATCAATAAATTATTTGATTAAGGGCATGCAGGACAGTGAAGAGCTCTCCTCGTGGTCTATTACACACAATGTATTCACTTGGCAGTTATACACTTGTTTTGTGAATTTCTGTTTCCAGATATATTTTTCATGCTCTATCTCTAGCACTTGTCTCTTTTAATACCAAAACTTATAAATCATCAGATACCTGATGCAGTTCTCAAAATTTATATATTTATTTATAAACTACAGTATAACATTATGACTGTTTATCAGACCATTTATGTACTCTATAAAATTTACAATAAATATTTTCTTATGCCATACTGTTTACTTATGCCACACCTGTATAGTAGGTAACCATAGTACTGTATTATTTTGCACTGTTCCGAATCGATGTCATGTCTCTGTATACACCATCTGTGTTTGTTGCATTATGAATATGATCAAAATGGTTAGATCGCTGATTCCAGGATGAATCTTTTTCCAACTTCCTTAAGTTCTTCACTGAGGAAGTTTAAAAATTAATGCTCACAAGCTCACTGTACAGATTCAAATGGCCTGACACGTCACTGAAGGACATGTGTTGCTGAACCTCTCTCTCCAACATTTATGGAGGTAGTAGAGCTCCATAGTGTTGTTGTTGTTTTAGATTTAGCTACTCAGAACTAAATGTCCATGTAGCACGGGCTATGGTGAGCCCGAAAAAATTGGCTGGGTGTACATTATATACACACAATAGGGTGAGGAGAAATGAAGTGGTACATAGTCCTAAGAGTAAGCTAGTTGTTGATAGTTGGTACCGTGTGTTTGACATGTAGTACCAAGATGTTAGATGAAAATGCATTCTTATTATAAACTAACTTTTAAATATGGTAATGAAAAAGATTATGTAGTAAAAAGATAGGACCTACCTTCATAGTCACTGAATCATCAGACTGCATGCATTGTGGGCATTAGTCTTCACAACAGCGTGAGGATTTATGAAATTTTCTTTGTAAAGGGGTAGGAAGATGTATCCCACACACACACAACTGGAGTTAGACTCCTCCCCCTGTGGCGGAGTTGTATCACATCCCGTGTGCGGTTGGGAGTGAGAATGTTAGTTGATGGAATTTGCTGTCACAAGCCCCTGGAATCTAAATATGTACATTTCACTTGCAAGAAATTTGAATAGCAAATATTACATGGCATACACAAAGCTTTTATCATTCATAAAAGCATTCATTTTATATACAGTGGTACCTCGGAACAAGAGTGTCCCTGTATGCGAGGTTTTCGGAATACGAGCAGGATTTACTAGGAAAATATGTCTTGGAAGGTGAGGGTTACCTCGGAACGCGAGATTGTTGATACGCGTTCAGGGCAACCTACCGCGTGGTAGTTCGGCGATCGTCGCCCCTCCGCCCCTCCGCCCCTCAGTTTACCATTGTCTCGCGCCCAGTGACTATCCCACATCAATTCTTCACCCGGATTTTCAGTGTTTTGTTGGATTTTTGGTCATTTGGCTATACAATTTGTTATTATATATCTCACCATGGGTCCCAAGAAAGCCAGTGGTAAGGATAAAGGCCAGAAAGCCCAAGTGAGGATGACAATAGAGGAGAAACAAGAGACCATTCGGAAGCATGAGAATGGTACACTTGTTGTTGAACTTTGTAGGCAGTACAACAAAGCCACATCAAAAATATGTACTATACTTAAGAAGAACAATGAGATTATGGGTGCTAAAGTGGCAAAAAGGAGTAAGAACAATAACGAAACAAACACCACAAATACTTGAAGAAGTGGAAAGTTTGTTATTAATTTGGATACACGACAAGGGGTTAAGGGGTGATAGTGTTTCGGAGGCCATCATTTGTGAGAAAGCCAGGGTATCGCACGAAGACCTTCTAAAGAATACCCCTGCAACGAATGATGCAGATACGAAAGAGTTTAAGGCAAGCAGGGGCTTGTTTGAAAAATTAGAAGGAGAAGTGGTATCCATAGTGTTACAAGGCATGTGGAGGCAGCCAGCTCAGACAAACCAGCCGCTGGACGATTTATTGAGGAATTTAAGGAGTTTGCAGAGGCTGAGGGATACCTACCACAACAAGTGTTTAATTGTGACGAAACAGGACTGTTTTGGAAAAGAATGCCTAAGAGGACATACATTACCAAGGAGGAAAAATCCTTGCCTGGACACAAGCCTATGAAAGATAGGTTTACACTTGTGCTGTGTTCAAATTCGAGTGGCGATTTGAAAATTAAACCCTTCCTAGTGTATCATTCTGAAAATCCAAGGGTTTTCAAACAGTATAAAGTGCAGAAAACCCATTTGTGTGTGATGTGGAAGGCTAATAAAAAAGCATGGGTGACTAGGCTTATTTTTTCGGAGTGGGTGAATGAAGTGCTGTGCCCTGCCATAGAAAAATATCTGCAGGAGAAACATTTGCCACTCAAAGCCATGCTTCTCGACAATGCTCCTGCTCATCCTTCAGGCTTGGAAGATGATTTGTTGCCCAGATACAATAAATTCCTCACAGTTAAATTCCATCCTCCTAACACCACTCCTCTAATTCAGCCTATGGACCAGAAAATCATTGCGAATTTTAAGAAACTTTATGAAAGGGCACTTTTCCGGAAATGTTTTGAAGTGACTGAAGCCACAAACCTCACCCTCAAAGAGTTCTGGAAACACCATTTTAACATTTGTAATGCTTTAAAACTCGTTGACAAAGCCTGGCAAGAAGTTTACATTTAGTGTGAAGAGAAGTTGAGAATAATTAGAGGTCAAAATATTACCATTGGCCATTATGAGCCAGAAAACCAAGAAACCTCCTTGAATTAAACATGAAAGTTCAGTTTTTTCTTCTCTAAACTGCCACTAAATTTGGGGATTCATGTAGGACCCAAGAGTTAAAAGCCCAATCCAGGACACAATGTCATCTACATCTGTGAGTCACCGCAGTGGCATTGGCATCAATTTCACGTGAGAACACATTTCCAACGTCCATTTCTTTCTCGGGGACAAGAAAATAAATAATTCGGCATTCTGTTCAAAAGCTAAAAAAAATTTTAGTGTAGCTAAAAATATATGACTACTCATCCATAAAGCTTAAAGTAGAGAACATACGGTCATTGTATAACTCACTTGGGTGATCTAATAAGAAAAAGTCTTGGAAATGTTTTAATATAAAAATTGATACACAAATTTAAATAAGATTGAAATATTGAATTTTAGCCCTATAGTATATATATATTAAATCTGTCTCGGAGGGCACTAGAACACACACGTGGTAGGAATATTAGTAACGAGAAAAATATGATCAGTGGCCTTGTGGAAATATGTCAACGCTTTGGTGACTGAGCATTCTGCCAGTATCGCAACCACAGCAAGAAACACAATTAAAATCTAATGGTTTCTAATTAAAACCTTCAGTATTTTTAAGCAAAAAATACAGAATGTATATATAACTTAAGTATCACAAGAACTATAAACAAAATCGTATCACTTTCCACATCACTGTACAAATATCAGTAAGCAGACTTGGTAATAAGTAAGGAATACATACTTCAAGAAACCATATAAAACCCAGTCCTTAACTGTACTGTATAGTTTATGCTGATATAGTGGTTCCTTTTAGTAGTGACTGACTCCACATATACCATAGTGGAAACCAAAGAACACAGCACACTTCATCCCATATTACTCAGATTTTCATTTGTAATTTAAATAAATAAAACAGCTGCAGAATGGTGTATCCAGATTCATTCTGGATACTGTACATAAGAAATGTCCCAAGTGTAACTGGACTCATTTGGGAAAAAACAATTAAAATAATCTTACCCCAACCTAATCAAATAGCCTGGATATACAGCAAGCTTATCTCGTCCCTCAGTAAGTGGAAGAAATAGTGTTAGCTTGAGCATCCATAAATGATAGAGTTGTACAAGTATGAAAACGGCTCATTACCTAACACCACGCTGTGGATCCAACCAGCCTCGCCTTCATTTCACTTCAAAATCCACCTACCTTTAAGACGTACAAATTTTTACACCCTTCAGTTTTGCCTGGTTTACGTCTAACCTTACCCATATGAACAATACACAATAAGCACAGCATAGTCTACAGGGGGTAGTCAAATCATTATAACAGTAATGCAAAAAAAAAAACCTTATTAAAGCTTCAAATGGATCAAGACTATAGATAAGCGGTGATAAATTGCCTGTCTGCAACTTGTACCCGTACAACACTATGAATTGAACTATAAAATCTTCACCTATGCAAAGAGATTAACTATACTGTAATACGATAAACGAATCTTAAGAATAAAAACTAGGTTTTGACCTCAATTACATTAAGTTTTAACCCTGAATAACGGGGAAAAATTTGACTTCGGTGCTGTTGTTTAAATACTACACCACTGGTCAGGGAACAGTAGAAATTGTGCTACATATTATCAAAATTACTGTGGTACTGAAATTAAATGTGTTGTCCCTTAAGACATGAACCCATTCTGATGGGATCCATTTAGAAGGTTTCCCTCCCACATAGCTACTGAGTGGCCAGTATAAGGTGAAAATAAAAAGGCACTCACAAAGTCTCCTATTATCCTAAAACAGAAGTTACAATTACTGCAACATATTATAATTCTCAGATGTTTAAATTTAGTCACAGTTAAACACACGAGCACTGATTTTTGCTAAATGTGATGATAGTCTTGCTCAGCCTGAAAGAATGAACTTTCTGAAAGAATCCTGAAAGAATGAATTGCTTTCAACTATAAATAAAGATTTTGCACACATAAAACTGATTGCATGGACACAATTCTGAATTATAAATGCTAGTTTTTGCCGCTTAAATTAAATATTGCTCATCAACAAAAAGATAGAGTACAGTATTACAGTACTCTACTTGACAACTTCATCACTCCCCAGAGTACAGTATTACAGTATTCTACTTGACAACCTCATCACTCCCCGGAGTACAATATTACAGTACTCTACTTGACCCATTAATGTCAAGTAGATTAATGCACATTAATCTCCGAAGCACAATAATTTTTAAATAAACTTTCATTCTTTAAACTGTAGAAGCTTGACACTCAAAGTACCTTGTTGAGTATTAATGCTGTTTTAGGTGACATTTATTGCATAGGTGCCTTTTAAAGTTCTGGCACTAGTACTTAACACTTTCCTTCGCGCTATCTACAAGCACGACGCAGCCTCATGGTGCTTCAGAGCGTAAACAAAGCCGCCGTTTCGTCTAACGCTTCGTAACGCATAGTAGAGACATACAAAGTTGAGTCCTCGTTTTTTAAAAGTGGACATTTGTATAAAATTCAATTTTTATCCGATTTACTTTGGGTTTGTTTCAAACTGCGCGCTATGAGGCTCTCTTTCTCACCACTAGGCTGCATGGTACAATAAGTTCATGAAAGGTGTGGATAACTTCGATCAAATGGTATTTTGTCCCAAACGGGTTGCAGGTGGGTGACTTTAGCCGTTTATACTGGTAATGCTTCCCCCATATCATGTATTATATGCATATGTCTGTTTAGGGAATTTTATTCCGATCAATATACAACCAAAAATAACTGTGTGCAACAAGTATAAACTTGACAAACATAACAAAAGTAAAAACATTTCGTGTGTGTTTGACGCTCACTGATATGTTCCAGCGTTGTTTTATATTTGGCGCTATTCTAACTTACGCTTTGTTGATATTTTTTACCTATGGGCACATAGAACATTCTATTGCGAACACATTGACACAAAAATGAATGACGTACATAGAAAATTAATGTCATGAGAGTGAAATAAGTATAAACTTTCAAAGCGCCGTGCGTCGTCCCGTCACCGATACCGGGTAACAATTTCACCACTTCCCACACTCTTGCGGGCGGGCCGCATCATTATTCTACGCTTATATTCATATCACCGTGTTGGGAATTTCATTGCGAGTCCATTGATACCAAAATTAACGCTGTAGAATAAGTGTGGAGGTGATTACAATCCCAAGAGTAAAAACATTTTGTTGCTGATGGGCGCTCACGGCGAGTCATCTTCGTAGTTATTTATTTGGTGCTGGTATCCCTATACGTTTCGTGACTTTTTTTACTGATGTTCTTCTAGAGAATTTTATTGCGAACACGTTGGTACCAAAATGAAATACGTAGCATGAGAACTAAGGTCAGAAGAGTAAAAAGAGTATACACATTTTTGTTTTTACGCTTAAGCGATAAAAACGCAGCGCGCACATTCGAAAGTGTTAAGTTGCTGAGTGACCTTTGCGGAGAGCGCAATAACAAGTAATGGTTACCAATCTTGTCTCATCGCTGGTACAAGTTGGGTTACAAGAAAACATAACTTATTATTTACATGTTAGCCCAGTCAATCAAACAACAGTTATTAATTACAGATTTGTTCAAGATAGCAAAATGCACAAATAATCTCAAGAATGAACCCCAAAGATCCAACAGGGAATGCTAATACAGTAAATTCATTCTGGGTCAACGCTGAAATGGTACAGACACTGCGGTTAGAAGACGCAGCCATCAGGGTGAAGTGTGCACGATAATAATGCAGAGAACATGTTGTCGACATGAATATAAATACAGACAACTTGTAAGTCTCATCTGTCATTAAATGATATGTCAATTTTGAGGATAATGATCATAGTAATACTGTACATTATAAATTCTGATAAAAAAGAAAAAAGCGCCAAACATATATTGAAGATAGGAAGTATCCACAACTACCTAGTGGGCACAATATCCAAGAGCAATGCCATTTTAATGCCAAATCAACATCGTCAACACTGATAACATTGATTCAGCTTCAAATCAACATCTCTATTGGATATTGTGCCCACTGGGAAATTCTGAAACTTGAATGGCAAGATGCAAACTTCCTGTCTGGTTAAATAAAGAGAGAAACAAGGAAGGCTATGAGACCAATAATGGAGAAAATAACATGCATGATTATATTACACTGACAATAAATACAGTAATGAAAGTTAAGTTAATAGCAAAACAAGAATAACCAATACGGTATTTCCTCGACTTACATCTAGGATTAAATCCTGGAAATCAGGGAACTTAATTGAAAGGACATAAGTAGAAACTTATTTCTGCAGAATAATCAATGGTATATAGTCAGGATGGCATTGCTCAGAAAAGATAAAAAGTTCAAATAATATCCAAAAATATCGAAACATGGTAAAATACAGAATTAGTATAATACATTCGTGCTTACTAGACACAGCAGCAGTGTGTTAAGGGCTTAGTGTGGGGTGACTGCTACTTGTATAGTTCCTGAAGCAAAGAGGCAGGACTGTCTGACTTTTCACCTGCTTTGGAAAGGGATCTCTCTCTATTTTACTTTCTTTTCCCCCTGGACTCCTTGTAAGCATTGTTGATGGTTAGGTGTCCGAGATCTTTTGTGGTGTTTTCTTTTCCCCATTTGAAAATATTTATCCAGACACATCTGGGGAAGGTTTTCTCTTCTCATGCTCCAGCTCCTTATGGATCACCAACAGATTTTCCTGTTGTCTTATAAATTCTTTTCGTTGATGTTTAAGGTGAAGCAAGTCATATGGACACCACGTAACACAATCAATTTAGCCATGTTAGCTTCATCAAATCCAGTTTTTTATTACTTATATTTTCATTTCATTTAGCACATTTGTATAAAGTAAGGACATAAATAAAATTCAAGGGTTGTAAATTGATAATCGTGTAAAAGGCCAATGGACATAAATTGCAAGGAATTAGAGGGATGACAGTTTAGCATTTAATGAAACAAGGAATTCTATGTTAAAGCAATGATAATGACTGAGCATGACCTCTTCCACCTACCTTCCTCTCATCTCAATACCAACATCCTGGAACACCCACAATATGGTGCAATTTTCTAATATTCAATGCATTACTTTCAATCACCAATGAAAGAGAGTTTACAATATTACAATATTATTTAGTATTTATTACCCATTAATTAACATGTCATTTCCTGAAAGTAATTAACATACCAACAATATTGTACATTGCACCAATGTCTTGTACATTTGTTGCATCACATTCCGTGCCAGATAACCGGTGTTCAGTTTCTATCATGATACATTACTCGGAATTGTAAACCTGTAGCTAGCCTTCACCCATGGTCTGTGCTGCAGCCCATCACAATACAAATGACAAAAATAGCTGCTAGATTGTATTAATATATACTGCTACTGTACTTCACTTCTAGATTACACTAAGCTGAGTAGCGCTCCTAAAATCTCACCCGATGCTCTTTAGTAGCCGAGAGCCTTCATCGGAATGAATACAACCCATGGTTTCTAAAACTTTAGAACAGTATATATAGTATTAATGCAGACATTTCAAGATTTCCTTCAGGGTGTTATTTAACCTACCTCAAATCTAGTCTCCATATAAAGTTATATGTAGGCCTACAGTCCAAAAAATTTAAACAAATGTTCAGCATAAATTATACTTAATTTGGTTTTGAAAACTCCATACAGATAGAAAAGTGAAAATGCTACCTGAGGCTAAACTAGCTGTCGCAGTGGTCACTAGTCAATATGGTTAAACTAGCTGTCACAGTGGTCACTAGTCAATATGGTTAAACTAGCTGCCGCAGTGGTCACTAGTCAACACTGTTAAACTAGCTGTCGCAGTAGTCACTAATCAATATGGTTAAACTAGCTGCCGCAGTGGTCACTAGTCAACACTGTTAAACTAGCTGTCGCAGTAGTCACTAATCAATATGGTTAAACTAGCTGTCACAGTGGTCACTAGTTAATATGGTTAAACTAGCTGTCACAGTGGTCACTAGTCAATATGGTTAAACTAGCTGTCAGTGGTCACTAGTTAATATGGTTAAACTAGCTGTCGCAGTGGTCACTAGTCAATATGGTTAAACTAGCTGTCGCAGTGGTCACTAGTCAATATGGTTAAACTAGCTGTCACAGTGGTCACTAGTTAATATGGTTAAACTAGCTGTCACAGTGGTCACTAGTCAATATGGTTAAACTAGCTGTCGCAGTGGTCACTAGTCAATATGGTAAAACTAGCTGTCGCAGTGGTCACTAGTCAATATGGTTAAACTAGCTGTCGCAGTGGTCACTAGTCAATATGGTTAAACTAGCTGTCGCAGTGGTCACTAGTCAATATGGTTAAACTAGCTGTCGCAGTGGTCACTAGTCAATATGGTTAAACTAGCTGTCGCAGTGGTCACTAGTCAATATGGTTAAACTAGCTGTCACAGTGGTCACTAGTTAATATGGTTAAACTAGCTGTCACAGTGGTCATTAGTTAATATGATTAAACTAGCTGTCAGTGGTCACTAGTCAACACTGTTAAACTAGCTGTTACAGTAGTGACTAGTCAACACTGTTAAACTAGGTACCATGGTGGTCACTAGTCTAGTTAAACTAGCTAACCACAGTGGTTACTAGTCATCAATATTAAACTAGTTTTTACAATGGTCACTAGGCCATACTCTTTAGCTGTCACAGTGGTCACTAGGCCATACTCTTTAGCTGTCACAGTGGTCACTAGGCCATATTCTTTAGCTGTCACAGTGGTCACTAGGCCATACTCTCTAGCTGTCACAATGGTCACTAGGCCATACTCTTTAGCTGTCACAGTGGTCACTAGGCCATACTCTCTAGCTGTCACAGTGGTCACTAGGCCATACTCTTTAGCTGTCACAGTGGTCACTAGGCCATACTCTTTAGCTGTCACAATGGTCACTAGGCCATACTCTTTAGCTGTCACAGTGGTCACTAGGCCATACTCTTTAGCTGTCACAGTGGTCACTAGGCCATACTCTTTAGCTGTCACAATGGTCACTAGGCCATACTCTTTAGCTGTCACAGTGGTCACTAGTAAACACTGTTAATCCAGCTGCCACAATGCTTCCTTAATTGTACTATCATTTGCATGTGAAAGATTACCCTTATTAAAAAGCAGAACACTACTGCAAGTAACAACAAAAACTCAATTCACATGCAATTAAATATGAATATTTAACAAATTTTAGTCCAAATTAAATGTTTTTTTGTATAATGAATATCTTTCTTTGGCTGAAGAAGCTGGGGCAGCAAAAATACATACAATGAAGTATCCCAGTAATTGAACAATTCCATTTTCTGTTTACTTTCACCAATACAGTGTTTGATCAACATAAAAAGAAAATGGCAGTCATAAATAAGCAAAGTATACAGTATAAATACAACACAACAGATGGCACGGCATCTTGTTATCCCACAGTTACGTTGCAGCGATTCCCGTTTGTTACATGAATCTCTGTTGATCTCGTATTTGTCCACAGTCTTAAGAAAAGATCTTATAAAAATATTATAGTTATAAGAAAATGTGCCAGTCATTCAAAAATGGAATCTCAGTCTTAATGAATCTTATATGAAATATGACTGATATTTCGTAAACAATAAGGTCTAAAGACCAGGCAACATGGATGATGTTCACTGCCCTCGGTCAGTCAACTTATGCACCACTGACTCTGGCAAGTAACTGGATGGGTGGCTGCATGGATACAGCCTCACCCTTCGCTATGGGAGACCTCAACAAGTGCCCAGCAGGGTTTTCCAAACCATACTACTACTGTGGTTTTCAGAATAACCATAATTATAATTTACTCTTAAATATATACTGTATATAATAAAATAAAATATTTTTGTTGCCTGTCAAAACAAGCATTGAAGTTATAATCTTCGAGAAACATCTGTCAAGAAAATATCACGGAAAAGGAAAATCTATACTAAAGGAGAGGATTCTTTGCAATATAGTTCCGAAGTCAGCATTTTTGCTGGTCGGTATAAAACAATTGAATTACGTAATTTAAATATGCAAAAGAGGTACCTGACAGCCGAGTGGACAGCGCTTTGGATTCGTAGTCCTGAGGTTCCGGGTTTGATCCCTGGTGGAGGCGGAAACAAATGGGCAGAGTTTCTTTCACCCTGATGCCCCTGTTACCTAGCAGTAAACCTAGGTCTGTTACCCAGCTGTCTAACTGGGAGTTAGACAGCTGCTACAGGCTGCTTCCTGGGGGGTAACAGAAGGGAGGCCTGGTCGAGGACTGAGCCGCGGGGACGCTAAGCCCCGAAATCATCTCAAAATAACCTCAGAAGCACCTCTTCAAAGCTATACTAAAGGAGTTGATTCTTTGAAATAGTTCCTTTGTCAGCATTTTTGCTGGTAAGTATAAAACAACTAAATTATGTAATCTAAATACCCAATAGAAGAGGTTCCTTCAGAAGGACCTCTTAAAAAGGTGGCCATTGTTACCTAACTTAATCAGCCAGTTACATAAAAAAATATAAAGCAGAAATTATCAAAACTAGCTTAATGAGCTGCAGATGCACCTTTAACTTCAAATCCCATTTATAGACAATCTTATGTAATGTCTCCTCATATCACTCAGTCTCTGATTATATCAATACATACTATTAAAATATGAATGTAAGCAATAATAAAGTTTGACATGATGTATTAAGTGCTAGGGCAATATTCTACCTAAATATATAAATTTGTTATCTACCAATTTGTAGGAAACAGTGAACAAGAACAACAAAAATCTACATACAGCAGTGACTACAGCATAGGAACCCAAGTTCTTTATTAAGTTACGATACCACAACCAGCCATAAGGTCTCTGCTTAATGGCAGTCGTGGCATCTGAAAATGTATCATAATCATATTTTGCTTTTATCACCTTTATGTGAGGCAGAGCAAACTTTAAAATGGTCTAATATCACATAGCCCTTCATTTTCATCTAAGCAAAGAAAATTTCAAAGCACCACATTAAAAATTGTTGACTGCTCATTAACACTTCGGCGATGTGACCTATCCACACGTTCCCGAGCATAAACATTCTGGCCCTCCCACCACATTGCTCACGGGCTGCTCAGTGATGGGAAGTTTTATAACCACCATTTCACATTTTCTCAATTATTTGTCGGTTTATAGCTATAAATTTGGTATCAAAATCTTCGCAAATATTTCGCATCTGGAGTATAGATGCAAAAACAATAGCGTATTTATAATAATTTATGTTCTTCTCCACACATTGCCGACTGTAAACATAGGGCACTGTCTGGGTCCTGCTCAGCAATGCATAAAAATGTTTACAATCATTTCACCTTTTCTCAGTTATTTGTTGTGTTATAACTATAAATTTTATATCAAAATGTTCGCAAATGAATACTCTAGAGGACAGATGAAAAAAGTGTATAAATATATAATAGATTATACATGACAGCAATGAATATATGAATGTTTTGTGAATAGCAATTAGATGACTCGTTTTAGCTTCATTGCAACGTTTACTGTCGGAGTGTGAATGACATGTTTTAGTGTCACTGGATCGCGAAAGTATTAACATTTGTACAACTAACGGCTATAACAAACTTTAGCAAAGTACAGAACTGTAATGTCATTTTACATTTTACTGTTTCCTGAAGTAAATCCTTAGCTCTATCTGAGAGCATGACATAGTGGAGATGAACAAGTTTTCACCAATGAAAAAACACACATGACCTTTAACAAACAATTTAAAAAATCACATTTGCCTACATATAAATATGACAGGATCTATTACTGGCTGGGCGATTCTCTACGACTTGCCCTTCTTGTAGCGGTGGCGGGCCTGCGCTTTGTTGTATCGAGGGTGGTGGCGGCGCTCTTCCCCATCACCACCTCCATCACCAGCTTTTTCTCTTGCTCCACTAACTCCATTTCTAGCATCACTATCATCCACACCTAGAGCAAAGTTCAATTAATATTTTACACATCAAAGGACTAGGTGAAAATTAGATTTTGAGTTAATATGAAAAAGCATTTTTTGAGCAAAACCATTCAGCTGCTATTTAAAGATTCCATTGTGTCCTGGACACAATGAAATTGTGTCCAGGACACAATGGAAATTGTGGACATCCTGAACACAATGAAATTGTGTCCAGATTGATTGTGTCCAGGACACAATGGAATCAAGGAGCTGAAGTTCAACCACTGCAAGCACAATTAGAGAAGTTCATACAAAATATTGCAGGAATTTTAAAGCATATCTGCAAAGTCAAATATGTGCTAGGGAGTTAATGGAGAGTAATCAGTCTTGCCCCAGAATGCCTGGCAAGAGTACAAGCAACAATCATTCTAAACAATATTTTGGCACCACCACCACTAACAGTCAAATGAGCATTTTGCTAACTACTTGACCCATATTGCCCACCCATATGCTACTCAACTTTAAAAAGTAATTCTGCACACAGGAGATGAGGGAAAAAATGTGAGGGAACAAGAGCAGCAGAATGATTTTGCTACAAAGGAAGTCTTGCACATTAAGCCAAAGTCTTATTTCTGAGCTATCACATTCAGCTTCTTCCATATTAAATATTTTGTATAAGCAAAGAAGAAAACATGCTAAATGGAGAAACTCATCTGGGTCAGAGAATAATGACTGAGAGAAGATGAAGGTGAAGTGCACACGATCCAAACAAATGAACAGGAGACGATGACACCAGCACAACCAACATTGACAAGACTCAGTAAGAGGGAGCAAAGTGCGCCTGGGGCCACATGCTGAAGACCCAAGTGAGGAATCTTTGGAAGGTTCAATTCAGTGAAGGTGCAGATGATCCACCAAAAAACCTGGAGCCCTAAATTACCTGACAAGGAGAAGATGGAAGCAAAGGTGGCAAATTTCCAGAATTTATATACCTTAACCCTTGCACTGCTCACCTATTTTCGGCAAAAACGTCTTGGTGCAATTGTCAAGGACATATTTTTGTTATTTTTACAAATGTTCAGGTAAATTTAATGTCAAAATGTTTCCAAAGTCAACTATTTCCATTTCAAAACACAAATAGTAATGAAAACATTAAAAAACATTAAAATATAGCCAAATACTCTCTGAGCGCCTAAAGGCGCTTTGCGCAAGTTGGCAAAACTTGACCAATCTCCACAATAGATGCAAAACTGATAACTAATGCCGAGGCTCAATGACATAGACAAAACAAAAGTGTGATGCAAGAGCCAAGACTGAGTGACAATAGTACCCCGGTGAAAGGATGAAGTGCTATCTTTTGCAAGGAAACCCATGTTGGGATAAGAGACCCATGAATGAGTGTTCCTTACCAAATAAAATGAATCCCCAAAGCAAGGAATGAAACTTGCTAACTCTGTTACCTATAGAGAGCACAAGAAAAAATGTCCTTTAAATCCTTAAGGACCTTAAATCCTTAAAGGACAAAACCCTAACCTCTCTGGTGCCAAGAAAGCTAAACTTCTGCTGAGAAACTGGACAGATTCCAACAGAACACCAGAAGGAAGAATTTAAAAACTTAGACAAATGTAAAGATAAAAAAAAATGTTAAGGCATGAAACCTAACTTGAGGGGATGCACTAATGCTGGCCTATTTTGTATTCAGCAAGAACATCCTCTCCTTCAAGTCAGATAAAGAATGCCCTTACAGTTGTCAGAGAGAAAAAGAAAAGAATTGGTTGAGGGCCAGGTGACTAGTAATTGCCATGCCATCGGATACTGGTGTCAAGAGGACACCTGGAGAAGCTGAATCTGGATTTCTGCCACTTGTCCCTTACACAGGTGGAGTTCAAACTACTACTTGTACAGAAATTCCAAACACATAGACTGGAGGAGAGCCTGGGCCTGCTCAAAAATCACAGTTGACTGATCTTCTGTGTGAGGTGACCTAAACCTAAGTAGGGTCAAAAGGACATGAGTTCATTTTGTTACTAAATGCCTCATATAGAGTTACTACTACTACTACAGAGGAAGGGTCATTCCTCGAGTCTTACTGAGAAGCCAAAGGAAACCCTGTGCCACAAGAAGGTGAAAAAGAAGGTTTTGCAGATATGCCCTTGTAATTCCTGTGAGTTAAAGAAGGGTCCTTTCACCCAGAGAAAAGAGAAATCACAAACACCTTGGAGGCTTGGAAAAGTTATGTATACCTGTGAAAGAGAAAGGAAATACAGAGCTTCCAACTTCCATCCCTGCACCCACTAGCACCTGCATGTCAATGGCCTGGAATATCTTAGGACTGATTTCCAGACCTGGTTTTGTATTCCTCCCACCTGAACCATTACCGGCTCTTCATCTCTATCAGCAGATCAACAGTTCGAGCTACACAGGTTCTCTACAGATATTTGTGTGTGGAGTTGTTAAGACTGTTGCATTCCCATTTGTATGGAATGCAAATGGTGATCCTCCTGCTTAGCCAAATTTGAACCTCATATCATTATCATTATATGGCTTCAGCATTTTTGTTGTGCTCTGCCAGTTGTCATTACTGTCTGTGGTGGTGGTCAGGTAATTTTCCCCCTTGGTTGTTTATTTACCACTGCTATGTTGCTCTATTTCTGAATCCCCTTCACCTTGCCTCTATATTCTAAGGCTCACTTTGACCAGCTTCTCTGTTCGGAATTTCTAGAACAGTTTTATTGCCACCTGCAGTGGTTCTATTCAGGTAATATAAATAACAACAAAAATAAATAAGTAATATAGTTCATTATTTCATCTCTGTTACCCATAATTGTCAGAGGTCCTTACTGCCTTCAGTGTTAGCCAGAGCACTCGTAATAACTTTGGAAATCTGCTGGTGCTTACCTAAAAAGTCAAGTGGCGGCTCTAATAATGACTTGCGTTGATTTTGAATATACATTCTGTAGCCAAAGCCAAGGCCCAAGCCTAGGAGTGAAAACACGATAGTGACGACTGACTGGAGGACAGGGTGCTGGAAGAAGAAAGAAAAGATTTGTGGTTCAGTATGCACACTGCCTCTTAAAACTGTTACCATACACAGGCTTCACTCGAAAAGCTAGATTCAGTTGAGAAACACTAAAATGTGTCACCTTTATTTGTAGTTGGTAAAACATTCTCTACAAATAAAGTCACAACTTTGTACTCTACAACTAAATGTATATTTTAAAAAAATATTTTATATGTAGAATATTTTAGAATTTATATATGAATATTATACTGTAATTCTATATAGATTCTACATAGAATCTAAATTCGACATGGAATATATACAGTATGTAGAATATTAAAGAATATTTTATATAGAATATGACAGAACATTTTAAAAGAACCTGTTAGTTGTCAAGTAAAATTAGTCATGCAATGTGTTGGTCAGTTCTATATCAAAATAATATATAATAATGTAAAGAAAAAATATCTGATGCCACAAGAGCCTTTACAAGATGTCCTAATTTAGTGTCAAGGCTACGATATGATCTATTCCTTCTAAGTTGATTATATGACCATGGTCTTCAATCTGGAGGGGCCAGTCATTTATCAGCTAAACTCAGATGCCCACACAGGAACAAGTACCTTAGGGCCAGGAGAGGAGCAGAGAGACAGTATGAAAATGACATCGCGAGTAAAGCCAAGACCCAACCAAAACTGCTGCACAGCCACATCAGGAGGAAAACAAAAGGGAAGGAACAAGTGAGGAAACTGAGAAAAAGGGAGAACAGATACACAGAGAATGACAAGGAGGTGGGCGTAGAACTCAACAAGAAATTCCAGGTCTTCACAATAGAACAAGGAGAAGCCCCTGCACTAAATGAGGCAGCAGCAAACCAAAATTTGGTTTGCCACTGCCTCTGCAGTGGAGGAATTTGAGCTCACCAGTGATGAGGTCAAAAGGAATCTATTGGAGCTGAATGAAGGCCATTGGTCGTGACAGAATCTCACCATGGATACTAAAAGAGGGTGCAGAAGCACTAAGTGTGCAATCTCTGTGGTGTATAACAGGTCACTGAAAACAGGAGACCTACCGGAAAGCTGGAAGACAGCTAATGTAGTCTCTATACAGCATACAAAGAGGGTGACAGGCAAGAGGCACTGAACTACAGGCCAGTTTCCCTAACTTGCATACATGCAAGGTGATGGAAAAGATCGTGAGGAAAAGTCTCGTAGAACATCTGGAGGGAAATAGCTTTGTAACACACCACCAACGTGAGTTCAGAGATGGTAAATTATACCTCATAGGCTTAACAGAATTCTATGACCAAGCAACAAAAATCAGTCAAGAAAGAGAAGGGTGGGCAGACTGCATTTTCTTGGACTGTCAAAAAGCCATTGACACTACCCACATAAAAAGCTGTTACAAAAGTTGGAGCAACATGAAGGAGTAAAAGGTAAGGTGCTCCAGTGGATAAGGGAAACAGTGAGTAACTGTGAGGAGGGGAAGACATCAGAGTGGCAAGATGTTATCAGCAAAGTCCCACAAGGCACTGTACTTGGACCCATCCTGTTTCTAATCAGTATATGTAAACGATCTTCCAGAGGGTATAGACTCATTCCTCTCAATATTTCTTGATGATGAAAAAATTATGAGAAGAATCAAGACTGATGAAGATAGACAGAGATAACAGGACGACCTGGACAAACTGGATGAATGGTCTAGAAAATGGGTACTAAGGTTCAACTCAGGAAAGTGTAAAGTAATGAAATTAAGCAAAGGGAGCAGGAGGCTGAACACAAGGTACCACTTGGAAGGTGAAATCCTGCACAAGTCAAATAGAGAGAAAGATCTGGGGGTTGATATCACACCAAACCTGTCCCCAGAAGCCCACATCAAAAGGATATCATCAACGGCATATGCTAGATTGTCCAACATAAGAACTGCCTTTAGAAACTTGTGTAAGGAATCATTCAGGACCTTGTACACCACTTCTGTCAGACCAATCCTCGAGGCCATTCCTAGCTAAACACAAGACAAAGTTAATGAAAATTCAGAGGTATGCCACCAGACTAGTCCCAGAACTGAGAGGTCTGAGCTACAAGGAAAGGCTAAGGGAGCTAAACCTCACGTCCCTGAAAGACAGAAGAGTAAGGGAAGACTTGATAACCACCTACAAAATTCTCAGGGAAATAGACAGTGTGGGCAAAGACAAACTATTTAGCATGGGTGGAACATGAACAAGGGGACACAAGTGGAAACTTGGTACCCAAATGAGACAATAGGAAGAATTTCTTCAGTGTCAGAGTAGTTAACAAATGGAATGCATTAAGAAGCAATGTGGTGGAGGCTGACTCCATACACAGTTTCAAATGTAGATTTGATAGAGCCCAATAGGTTCAAGAAACTGTACACCAGCTGATTGGCAGTTGAGAAGTGGGACCAAAGAGACAAAGCTCAACCCCCGCAAGCACAACTAGGTGAGTACAATTGTTCTGTGCCCAATAGAAAGTTCAGCACTATACTCTAATTCTTCAAAGACAGCATGTTCAAATAATACTTTTTACTTCCCAGCACAGGTATTCTTTTTGTTTTGACCTATCTCTTTCTATTCTAACTGTTCTACATCAATTTTCAGCCTTTAGTAAACAAAATAATATAAAAATACATATTCATACACTCAGGTTCTTCTTCAGAAAATCGCCTTCTGAGAGATCACAAAATGAAAATTAAAAGGTTCTTGGCAAATTTGGTAATGATGTTAGGTCTTCAATACTGTACAATACTGTAATCAAAAATTACATTTCAAAAGAATACGCATGTAAAAAAATAGTGAAAAAGTTACACAAGCATATATAGAAACCTTACTGTGAGGATTGCTTCCTTGGCAATGATTGCATCTCCTACCACCACCAGCACTCCCAGGATTAATCCAATGCCTGCACCTACCCATGGCGTCTGCTGATCTACCTGTAAAATTACAATCAATTACAACCTAACTCAAATGTTTGTCTTTCTATAATACATTTTCATTAATTAAAGGCATTCAAAGATTTATAAAATGAAGAGAAAAGAACAATCCCTGGTATAGGCCAAAAATGTATAAAGTACAGGGTGGTGTGATGTTTGCTTGTTTCCTTGGGAATTGAGGGAGTTCTACCTCTCTGTTCGGCTTTCGTTTGAACATTTCTTACCTAGTGGGGGTCTGTTTTGTTACGCCTACCTTTCTGGGTGCCTACCTTACCTTTACCTTACCTTGGAGTTTTTCATGGGCTTAGCGTCCCTGTGGCCCGGTCATCGACCAGGCCTCCTTATTGCTGGACTGGTCAACCAGGCTGTATGAAACGGCTGCTCGCAGCCTGACGTATGAATCACAGCCTGGTTGATCAGGCTGGTCGATGGCAGATAGTGTAAATCCCCAACCACAGAGGAATTTTTCCAGGGCCATTGCTCCCTATGCCTCTCTGAGGGGACCAGGTTCTGGCTCGTGGTCCCTGGTAGGCAGAACTCCATTGACTAAAGCCCTGGTCTAATGTATCACATATTAGCCCGATAGCTCCAGGGAGCCGTAAGGGCTCCCCTCAGAAAATGTATACTTTGGCTTTATTAAGTCAAAATATTGCACCAATGAATCAGCAATAGATGCTGAAGCTCAGAACATTTTTGGTTTTATAGTTTTGGTGGCCTCATAAAACCAAAATGTACTGACTTCACAAGTAGGTAACCCCTGACATTTGGGTAGCCTAGAGTACATCCTTAGGTCTGGAAGTGTTAACACTTTCGCTGACCAATCACACATATTCCATCACAGAACCAAAATTTGGAGAGTGCATGATGATGCAAATGGCATCATTAATTTAAACATTTGTAAAAATTTCATTTATCGTCTGAATACTATGGGACTTGTTTTAAAATGCACGCCAACGTCTGCCCATTCTCTGTAGACTCAGTGGCATCCTGGCCCCTGCCGTGTGGGCGCCCACTCACGCTGGAGGCTCACTGTTCTCCTGACCTCGCTCGTGACAGCCACGGCCTCCTCTCAACTCGTAAAGTTCCTCATTCCGGTTATTTTATCTCAGGTACTGTATTTGTTGTTACCAGCTTTATAAACACTGCAAATTGACTTTCAGATGGATACTGATAAAGGACAGATCCAATCCATGACAAAAGCATTAAATGAAATACATATGAGGGAAAGTTATTGAGTGTTTGTAGAAAGTATAGATAAGTGAGACTTGTACAGTATGTTCTTAGGTATATGTAAATATCCCTGTTTAGCATTCTATTGTGAAAAATTTGATACCAAATTGAATGATATAGTATGAAAATTGAAGTGAGAAAGCTGAAGAAGAGTGTAAACATTGGAGTGAGGTTGTGTGCTCACGGGCAATGCTCGGCCGACCTTGCGGTGTGCGGAAGGTCACCCGCTGGGCCAGCAAAAGTGTTAAAACTGTTATTCTGTTTGCCAAAACTAGTTAATAATCCTGTATAAATAAATTCAGTTTGCATCTTTTTTTTTATTTATATATACTGTACAAGAGTTCTTACGTCATTCTTGTAAAGCCGCTAGCACACATTGCATTTCAGGCAGGTCCTTAATCCTGTTACTGCTGTTACCTAGCAGTAAAATAGGTACCTGGGAGTTAGTCAGCTGTCATGGGCTGCTTCCTGGGGGTGGAGGCCTGGTCGAGGACCGGGCCGCGGGGACACTAAAAAAGCCCCGAAATCATCTCAAGATAACCTCAAGATAATCCTAATTTTTCCCGCAGTATGACCTGCCAATTCGTTTAACCACCAGGTACCCATTCACTGCTGGATGAACAGTGGCTACAGTTAAGGATTGGCATCTAGTCAATCCTCCCAGGCCAGGATACGAACCCAGGCCAAACCGCTCACGAAGCACCGGACGAGTTTTACTACTGCGCCACAGGGACTGATAATTTGGCAAACAGGTCTACTGCTGTTTGAATTCCGTTGTATGTTCCCTTTCTTACCTTTTGTTGGCGAGTCATTTCTCTGTTAGCTCGCAACACACACTCCAGTAAGGTAGGGTCGTTCTGCAACTGGGAAGCACGACGGTAAGACTCCAATGCCTGCGCAAAGTGACTAGTAGCAAACTCAACCTCTCCCCGACGAAAATATCCCTGTAAAATGAAAGAAATATGGATTAAGATATCTAAACAAAAGATGTTCTAGTTTGTTCAAGAATTACAGTTGTTTCATATTTATTATTAATAATAATGAAGCCTGGTTGACCAGACCACCAACCAGGAGGCCTGATCAAAGATCGGGCCACGGGGACTTTGATTCCAGGAATAAATGTCAATGGCTGTAAATTAAGTTTTATTGTATGAAATAAAAGATACTGTACTGTAGTTATGTACTGTACAGTATCACTAATGTATATTTTAAATAAAGATATATCATACATAAAACATACATGGTTCCATATAAATGATGAAATTGTTGAAAAGTGTCTATGTGCTTTTAAGAGAAGTACATACTGTATGTTAAAAAATCTTTTTTTTTCTGGATATGGTAAGAAACCATTGAAAGGAATGTCTGGAGGTTGGTTTGATCACATGTTGGTACAGTACTGTTTAAAATAAAATTATATGTTAAAAAGAGTAACTCTATCTCATACACAGGCCTCCCTGACAGGAGGCCTGGTCAAGAGAGCATGGCTCTCTCAGGTGACCGATTGATTGATGAAGATTAAGACATCCAAGAAGTGTCACAGGCATGAGTAGCCCAAAGGTGGTAGATATTTGGAGCGAATGTGAACTTTGGTCGTGAAGGTTACAAGTTTTTGTGCTTCCAAATATATAGCTGGGGATGAGGTGAAGGTGAAACACTGAAATTATTGACTAATAGGACCACTACAGCTTACAATCTTCATGTTTGTATTTTAGCCAGAGCAGTATATTGTATATTTCAACGTGTTCTTGTGGATGACAGTGTAATTTGGCTCGGTTTAATTGATTGATAAATAAATAAAAAATTTAGAATTTTTTGTCACCAAAATTTTGACAGCAAATCTACCATATCTGAAAGTTACAAACCTTTGCCCACCCAGGATCAAGTCGAATAGCTTCATTGGCATCTTCAAGTGCATGGTAGTACTGCTGAAGTTTGAGGAAGGCATAGGAACGATTACTGTAGAGCTGCGGAGAGGAACTTTCAATCTTGATGGCATGTGAATAATGTATTATGGCCTCTGCATAATTGCCAGCACGAACACACTCATTTCCTCTTTCACGTAATTCGGTCACCTATAAATCAATATAAATCACCTATAAATCAAGTGCATGGTAGTACTGCTGAAGTTTGAGGAAGGCATAGGAACGATTACTGTAGAGCTGCGGAGAGGAACTTTCAATCTTGATGGCATGTGAATAATGTATTATGGCCTCTGCATAATTGCCAGCACGAACACACTCATTTCCTCTTTCACGTAATTCGGTCACCTATAAATCAATATACATACAGTAGTAATATAGTAATATCGTAAGAACATAGGAATATGGGAAAGGTCAATTGATCTGGGAAAGGCAGCTTCAATTTATAACAAACCAAACTCATTTATGTAGAAGTCTATCCTACTCATGATACTATCCAGCATCCCCCTATCTACAATATATGCAAGTGAAATTTCTCTGTAAATATTAATAAATTAGCAACAGACACTACTGTATCTGTAAGATGCTCTTTTGTTGCGCAGAGTGGGTAAACTCATTTACATCAATAACCACCATTGATAATTTATGTTGGAATATGATTTTATAGTCTATATCCATTGCAATCACAACCCTTTAGTTAGATTGGGTTAGATGGGCTCTAGTTACACAATTCTATTGAAAGTTAACTTTTTGCTCTTTCAAACTATATAATACAGTATTAATATTTATTAATGAGAATGTTGCTTGTTCTGCAAAAGGTCTCTAGTGTAATCATTGCATGGGAAAATTTTTACCCATTATAGTTTTGTTAGCCTTAAGCCCATGAGGTCATACTCATGTACACAACTCACAACCTTCAGAAAGCAGCAGCCATGGAGGTGGCAGGATAAGGAGTAGAGATAGAACTCTGAGTTAGGAGACTAATCATTTAAGAATGTCAGGTAAGCTTGGTAACACACAGAAATCACAATTGCGTGATGCATCAAATGAACAAATCCACAAAGGCCGTGACGAGGATTCAGTCGATTAAGGCAGCATCTGGGATGCTCTTGGACGCAGGTTCGAATCCTCGTCACGGCCCTTGTGGATTTATTCATAAGCTTGATAATAGCTTTATGGGGTTCTGGGAGTTCTCCTACCTCCCTACTCCCCCTACTGACTTGTGAGAGCTTAGTCTAACAGGCTGTTGCTCTGAGCGGCCCGCAGGCCCACATATCCACCACAGCCGGGTTGGTCAGGCACTTCAGGAAGAAAACTATCTAGGATGTGGACAGTTTTCCTAGCTTTGACAGTGGTACTTAAGGCAAGTAAGAATGAGGCACTTAAGAGCTGAGGTAACATAGAGCATCTGCAATACCTTCTAAACATTAAAAGAATTCCCAACATTTTTGGGAAACATGAAAATTGTTTAAATGTGAGGTCTTCAGGACAACAGCAAGTGAATGCAATTGTTAAGATATCAATATTGGATTGAAGCTAGAAAGTCCTTTCAAAATCAAGCTAATTCCGTGCAGCCTTGTTAATGGTTTCTTCATAATTAACGTGAAATTAATAAAATGCCAGTTAGGCTTGCAAGAAAAACATTCTGCAACAACAGGGCAACATTATTTAGCTCATAAATACACAAATTAAGTAGAAGGCCCGTGTGCTGGACGGAAAAGTAATGTCTAAACAATCAGTGTTAAGATCAGAGAAGCAATTAACATTCAATGGAGCACCTCTCACATAGGAGGGAACTACACGATCCCTGCTCAATAAACACCTCAAACTAATGATAACCAATTAGCAAGAGACTGAAAACTTCTGCAGCTTGTTCCGAAAGATTTACCAGTTAACTGTCTGCTTACATACATACGCTGCACGTGGTAATTTATCCATTTTTAACTCACTTTCTCAGTATTTGTTGACATCTTCGATCGGCCGTGTTTATCTCTAGTGAGCCGAGGCTACGGAAGCAATACAATTTTCAGGTAAAGTTCAGTCACGTGGGTAATATTTGCTTCAAATTCTTCACTGTTAAAAATATATATAAGGATATATTTGTATATTAATACTCAGTGGCTTTGTTTTACTGGCTTTGCACTGACCACACACTAGAAATTGAAGGGACGACGACGTTTCGACGACATATCAATGATATGTACTCTCATAAACCCAATGAACGTTCTTGTATAATTAAATAAATAAAAAATAAATTTTTACAATGCACAAATAATTCTTGCTTAATAATTCAAGGCTAAACAGTTTTGGTCCGATTCCCTAACACCACTGCAGAATACGAAATTACCAATAAATAAAAACCTCCAACAGAATCCCCACGACAGATTAAACACGCCAGAACATGACAAATTTAACAAGATATCGCAACAAACGACAATAAAAACCTGCACAACACAAGAATATATCATAGACATCACTTGGCAATAAGAGATTAGAACAAGTTGAGAGGGATAACGAGCGTTTCATATTACAGGGCCAAGAAGGCAGGGAGGGAGGTAGGGGGGGGGATACAGGGGAGGTTGCCTCATCCCTCACCCTTACTGTTGCTGCCCACCCTGCGTCTCATCACCCTTACTCAGCACAACTCTCGCCCTCACCACCATGGCTGCTGCACCCTCGTCTCTCCTGCTGGTGGCCAGGACCGCCAGGCTCCTGGGGCTCCATGGCAAGCTGAGAGGGGCGGCGTTGGCCGTGCCTGTACGTCACCTATCATATTCACCGGGCCTCGCTCAGGCCAAGAAAGAATGGTGAGAGTTTTGAGTCTTGTGTTTCTGGTCTTGTACTGTGCTTAAGCAACACTGACATTCATCAGTGACGTCAGGAAATACCTGCAGAAGGGTGAATGGCTCGATTGGTGCGCCTCTTTGGATCTCTGTCTACTGTTGCTTGTGTAAAATGAACAAATCCACAAGAGCCGTGACGAGGATTCGAACTTTCGTCCGAGAGCATCCCAGACGCTGGCTTAATCGACTGAGCTATGACATGGCATAAGAATTGCAGCCAGAAATCAGTGGACGCAGGTTCGAATCCTTGTCACAGCCCTTGTTGATTTGTTCATTTGATGCATCACGGTATTGTGATTTCGATGTGTTGTTCGTGTAAATTGTGATGCCTTATATTGTTTACCCGAGACCCACTAACTTTAGTAGCCTCGGCGAGTACAGGAAGCCGGCAGCTTGTCAAATGTCCTTCCCCCTCCCCATTTGCCATGATGATCTTTTGCAGTTATATTTTGAAATTCAGCAGAGTTTTGGTAGTTACGGCTTCGGCGGGTAGGCAGTTCCATGGGCTAATTCTGTGGGTGAAAAAGCATCCCCTGTTCTCGGTCCTACATAGTGAAGTATTAATGGTTGTATAAATGTATACGTGATGAATGGTATGTTGGCTATTGTGGTGATATTATATAATAATAATTGCAATTCTTAGGCCTTTATAAGCCCACCGCTAAAACAATGAATACAGTGTCATGTAACACATACTCAAGACTGACAATTCAGTCAAAAGACACGCAGATACACACACACACACACACACACAACACAGTACAAGTGCTGGGAAGATGGGACACCACATCTCATCCTGTAATTACACTTAGGTAATTACATACAGACACACAGTCATACACACTGTAGGTACATAATGTTCATTGTCTATGTAAACAACCTATCAGAAGGAATACACAATTATATGAACATGTTTGTTGATGCTATAATACTAGGGAAGATAAGAAACTTAGACAATTGTCATGCCCTTCATGAAGACCTTGCCAAAAATAAATGTATGGAGCACTACTTGGCAAATTAAATTTAATGTGAATAAATGCCATGTTATGGAAAGTGGAATAGGAGAAAATAGACCCCTCAACGTACAAAATATGTGAAAAATCTTCAAAAAATTCTGATAAAGAAAGAGATCTATGGGTGATTCTAGATAGAAAAATATTGCCTAAGGATCACATAAAAAACATTGTGCAAGGAGCCTATGCTACGCTTTCCAATTTCAGAATCGCTTTTAAATACTATACATGGACGGTGTACTAAAAAAAAAAAAATTACAACCTTTATGACCAAAGCTGGAATATGCAGTTTTTGCATGGGGCCCATGTCCAACTAAATGTCTCCTGGAACTGAAAGACAAGAGCTACAAGGAAAGGTTAGAGGCATTAAATATACCAAAACTAGAAGATAGAAGAAAAGAGGCAATATGATCACTAAGTACAAATTAGTAATGGGAATTGACAAAATTGATAGGGGAAGACTTCCTGAGACCTGGAACATTTTATTTTATTTAAATATACAAGAGTTCTTACATTCTTGTACAGCCACTAGCATGCATAGCATTTCGGGCAAGTCCTTAATCCTATGTTCCCTGGAATATGACCCTGCCAAATCGTTTAACAACCAGGTACCCATTTTACTGTTGGGTAAACAGAGGCTACAGTTAATGATTGATACCCAGTAAATCCTTGACAGCCAGGATACGAACCCAGGACAAAGCACTCGTGAAACACCAGGCGAGTGTCTTAACCACTACACCACGAGGGACTGCTGAACTTCAAGAACAAGAGGTCATATATTTAAAATAACTAAACAAACCTGCCGAAAAAATATGAGAAAATTCACTTTCATAAATACTGTAGTGGTAGACAGTGAAAAAGTGGTGGAGGCCAAAACTGTCAGTACTGTAGTTTAAAGTATTATATGACAGTGCTGGAAAGATAGGACTCCATGAGAGTAGCTCTCATCCTGTAATTACACTTGGGTAATTACACTTAGGCATAATTACCTAAGTTCAGAGGCAGGACCAAAGTACTGAAGCTTAAATACACCAAGTACCAGCAGATGAATTACATGGTACAAAAACAAATGTTAAAAAAAAATCTGGCCCTAGCAAAGTTGTGTGTGTATTCAGAAACTGGTTAAGTTAATATGCAAACAGCTTCATTGTTTGCTAGGGAAACCTTGTTAAACCTACAGCCTTCCTGTCTCCAGTGGCAAAATACCAAAATAATCAATAGAACAAGAGTATAGTAATGTTAGAGAGACATAATTAATAGGGATGAGAAAGACTTTGGTTAGACTATGCATACTGCAGATGGAAAATGAGACTCGATGCATTAGACAGCCAGTGGTGGAAAAGGCTGAAACTTTATTCTACAGCCACACTGAAAATTCACTAGATTTTCAGAGGATACATGATGCTTCATGTCCATCCCACACTCACATTCACTATTGCTGAGGAACTAGAGCTGAATTTTTCTAGCAAGTTTAGACGAGTATTTGCTCATTCACTCTTGTATAATCCACACAAGTTTAATACACTGGAAAAGTGTTGGTGGCAGTAATCTCCATTTGAAACTTAAAAGAGCACATATGCCAAACAAAACTAAGAAATTGAAAGTTTCTTATGAGGTAGGACCCAAAATTTAAATGGCACTCTCATACATACTAATAGATAAGCACATTTTCACTCATGCACATACTCTTTTACTCATTAACTCCATCATTCGCAAATTCACTAAAAATGAAAAGGAAAAAAAAAATGGATTTTACTAAACCTAACAAAATATACAGTATGTACTGTATTTGAAGTTGAAATTGCCTTATAAATCATAATAATAATAATAATAATACTAATAATAATAATGGCCGCTTTTAAAACTGCACCAGGTACGAGGTATCATACCAGAAAGTAGATGGAACAAAATTCACTGTGAAGGGGAAGGAAGGCGACAATCTTCTGGACATTGCTGTAAATAATGACTTGGACCTTGAAGGCTATGGTGAGTACTATGCAAATTGTTGAGTTAGCACTTGTAGTTATGCTGTGTAAGCAGGTGATGGCACTCGCAATAATAAATAAAATTTCCATACAGCATATTGCCGTAACTAAACATAATAAGTCCCTCAATCAGCCCTTCTCAAACTGTCTCATTCCTCTATCCATATCTGACATATGGTATCAGTGCAAGGGGTTCAAACGCCACTAACTACCTCAGACCTAATATCACCTAGCAAGAATCATATGTGCTCTTTACTTATACAAAACTATAACTACTGCAATGCTAACAAAGGCTTGAAATACTTTCTACAAGGATACTGTATCATATACCCATTGATGTTCACACTAATTATCATTTAGATATTCCAGAGTCTGACTTGGTCTATGCAAAAACTGTACTTTATACAAAAAATAGATCTGAAATGAAATAGTTGTGAAACATGTTATTTAAAGGTACATTAATGTTAAGAAATAGCTACAGCAATTACCTTATTGCAGTACTGTATCCTATAGTATCACTCCCTACACAGACGATGAGTCACAAAAACGTGGCTGAAGATTAATCGACTTGATAATGGTCCAGGACGGACCGAAACGTCACCGTCTCCTCATCTTCTGGTGTGTGGTTTAGTCTTCATCTTTCCCCTGTCCCGTCCCAAATCCTTATCCTGACCCCTTGCAAGTGCTATAAAGTTGTAATGGCTTGGCACTTTCCCCTAATAATTAAAAAATATTAGTCATCACTCCCTACACTCTTCTTACTAGATCAGCTGTTGGCATTATTAAAACCACCCTAGGCTAAATGGCTATTTTTGTAGGTTTATTTTTATTAAGATATTTCTTTGGCTTTCCTTACAAAAGGCAGGTGAGAGAATGTTGTATTCACACTCTTTCGACATCATCTCAGTGTCGATAAGAGTTAGCTATGCAGTGATACAGCACTCTCTAGCTTTTGGCCAGCAGGACTAAAATTGTTAAGGACAGGAAGTTGATGTCTAAGCTTAATACAATTGCATCATATTGGCTGGAAATGCCACTCCAGTAAGATGTCTGCATCAACGTGTCTAGTCATCCTTTACCATGTATTAACATGTCCTTTCTCAAGCTCTGTTAAAGTCTGCCTGGACTCTAATTAGGATTGTTAATATTTTCTTCAAGTTTTCCCTGTTTATTCTGCTCTCTCGTGACAGATACAGTACTCATACTATATGATCTCGAGTGCATGAACTGCATACCTTGCTACACTGTGTGGGTTTCATTGTTGTTTCGAGCTACCGCTACATCATACATCATTTTCATAAAATACATCCTCTAGAATTTATAAATGTCTTCTACACTTAAAACATACTGCTCAGAATTTCTGGGAGACAATCCCATGGGGTGCCATAAGCACAGTCAGAGAACATTATAAACATCAGAGGTCCACGGTTGTTCAACATCCTCCCAGCGAGTATAAGAAATATTGCCGAAATAACCATGGAGATCTTAACCCTTAACATGCTCGGGGTTTAATATCCTGTCATCCCCACAGGCGCATGTCATTTTGAAAAAATAAAAAATATATATTTTTTCTTCCTAACCTGTTAATATGTGTTCACTGATCACGGGAAAAATAATAAAAAAATCGTAAGTGGCATATATTGCTTGCTATAGGGCGGGGAAGTCTGGCAAATTATAGGCGCTGACTCAGCATGCGTCCCAGGCGGTCTATTGCTCGCCAGCTGTCAGGCCGGAGTTGCCACAAAGAGATAATTACCTAATTATTTCAATGTCTCTGATTGATTTTTCATAGTTTTTTTGCTGTAATATTATTCAATAGTGTGTAGTTCGATATATTTATATAATAAAATGAGTGAATCATTGCTGTACTCAAAAATATGGTGTGCATATTGTTGATTCAATTATGTTCATCAATCGGTGAACAAATACTTTGTCGGTTATTACACTATAAGCACAGGTTATATATAAGTATCTGCATGTTTTGTTCATTATAACGAACCACTAAGTAGCTATTATGAGTCAAAAAGTAACGAGGAGTGACCGCCGTGTACCAGCCAGCCACTTCCGCCCTCCCTCCAGTCATCTGACTCGCCCACATTCTCCTCCCACAATAATGTTTTTGCTATAATTCACTATATACAGACATTATATATAAGTATCTACATGTTTTGTTCACCATAACTGTACATCTAAGCTTGTATGGTGAGTAAAGGCACAAAGACGTAAGACCTCACACAGTCAGCTGATGGCTGCCGCCCTCAAGGCCAGACGCACTAATATTTCTCCTCCAACAATACTGTGTGGTGTTATTACGCTATATACACACATTATATATAAATATCTACCTGTTCTATTCACCATACTTGTACAAATAAACTGGTATGGTGCCCAAAGACCATCGTGGTAACCAGTAAACAACACCGTCGTCTGCACAGTGGCGTCGTGCAGACGACGCCACCGCCCTCACCAAAATGGCGGCTTCAAACCTTCTCTTGCTGTTTATACCCTCTATACACACATTATATATAAGTATCTACATTTGTGTTCACCATAGCGAACCACTAAGCTGGTATGCTGAGTGCAGTCAATAAAAGGTGGCCACACACAGTCAGAAGACATCGCCACCATCCTCCCTCCCATAGCATTACTCCTCCCTCCATGGCGCACAGCGCTAAATATCACCACAATCCTGCTATTATCGGAACCCTGGTCAGTTTTATCACAGTCAGGGGTCTTCTGTAATATCATCATTGCTACATAATACCATGAACAAGTATATTTTGGCATTTTTAGGCGATGCTGTGGTCACAAGCTGAACAGCAGTGCTGTTAGCTCATGCTGCGTGTGTCAGGCTTGGTTGCTCACTCAATACTGAGGCCAATAACACCCGGGAGTTTGGCCCACGATTTTTTTTTTAAATGGCGTCTGTTTACAAGAGCCCTGATGAAGGTGTGGTGAACCCCGTGTATCCGCGGGCCGTTTAAATCTTGCATAGTACTCCAACAACACATATGACGTGATGCGCAGTTGACTGGAACAACGTCCAACACGTCATATGACGTGATGCGCACTTTAAGGGTTAAAGAGAAAATTAGATGGTTTTCTCCAAGAAGTGCTGAATGTGTGGGCCTGTTGGACCAAGCTCTGACAAGTCAAGCCTGGCCTTGGGGCCGGGCTGAAAAGATTATTTTTATTTTTTTGACCATTTTGTTAATTACCATCCAGAAAACAGCCGTCCAAGTTGTTGGGCACCATTCCTTCCACCCCCCCCCATCTCCCAACCCAAATCCTTATCCTGACCCCTTCCAAGTGATATACAGTAGTAGTAATGACTTGACACTTTCCCCTGATAATTCCTTTCTCTGGTGCTGGTATATCTTGTCTGGCTGCAGATGACATCTGGTCGTATGACTTGGCAGATCTTGAGCTTAGGGAGCAATATTTGTTACAAGCAATACTTGTCTTAGTTTGCTTGTCAGCAAGACACAAAACTTTAGGTATACTAGTGTCAGTTAGTACAATATAATTAAACTTACCCATGATATTTTATGAATAGATGAAGGATACATTATTCATGTTTTATACATACTGTACAGTGCTATACAGTAGGTATAATGTTATTAAAACAAGACTTTGAAAGGAGTTTAGGAAAGGTTCTATAAACTTTGCATCCTTTCGAACTATAAATTTATTTTTCTGGTGTAGATACATTATTTAGTGAGTCTTAGAGAATCAGTTTGAAGCAGATAAGATAACTTTAATCTGTGTGGATGTGAGACTTATCGGAGATGTCCTTGATATTCATAGAATAACTTTTTGTAATATCATATTCTGGGTATAGTCAGTAAGACTGTTACTTTCTGATAACATAAGATCATAAAGAAGTTGTAAATGATAATTCTTTATGTATTTTTACAAAAGTCAAATTTTGAATGTATTTTATAGTGGGCCCTCAGTAGCTCCCCCAAGCTAATTGCTGGTATAGCCATTCCTGGTATAATTGCTGGTATAGTATAGCCATGCACCAGGCTTCTAAGTTTCAAACTTGCTCACAGGAAGCCAGAAGCAGAATCTGGCCATCTCTATGCATCAAGGGGAGCTTGGAGAAAATTAGGTGCCCAGAGGCAACTTGGTAAACCATCATTGCCACAGGGTAGACATCCAAACCATGATGCATCTGCCACCAGGTGGCAGAAAGCCAAGTGCATAGCCCATAGACAACAGGGCACTCTGTGCAGAATGTAGAACGTGTGTAAGAGAAGATGATTTAAGTTTTTTAAAATAAACTTGCCAAGGTTATCATGGTTATATGCACTTCAGAGCAAAAGAAATGGCAGCTTAGTGTAGCATTATAATACAGTTTGGCTCTCAACAAAGTTTTGAAGATAGGAAGGACTTTTGGAATACTGTATACAAAAGGCATAAGAAAAATGTTTTTCATTGTTCAATATTTTTAGCAAGATGTAATTCTTTTTGTCGTGTGTAGTTTGGAATGAATGAAAATAATCTGGATATAGGATATGTGAAAAAACATGATTTCTAAATAATTGATCACTCTAATACACTGCAGGTGCTTGTGAGGGTACTCTGGCTTGTTCTACATGTCATCTGATCTTCAAAAAGGAGGACTTTGATTTAATAGAAGAGCCATGTACTGATGAAGAACTGGATATGCTAGATCTTGCATATGGACTCACAGATACGTAAGTGTGCATTGCAAATTGAATATGCTTTTCTAATATTTTTATTTTATATAATTTTTTTTGTTGGAAGAGAAAGGACCAATGGAAATAGTGTTTGTTGTACAGTATTCGACTTATCAATGGTCTTCTGATTTTTAAAATCGTTTAGAACTGAATTCCATTTGTTATACCCAGAGATCTGGATGATTTAAGATATTACATTTTTTCACTATTATTGAGCTATTGCATTCTGTTTCCTCCTGAGGTAAGAGCCACTGTGTTTGTTGACTAGGATCATGAATCAGGCAGGATGACATTCTGGCACCAATGCTATAGGGAATTGTTATATAAGGTGTTAGGGGGGTATTCATTCAAACCCAGAATGGCCAACAGATGTGCATTCCATAAAAGGTATGGAATGTACATATATTGGTCTCACGTTCATGCAGGTCAGTGTTCAATGCCCCACCATCCAAGTGGTTCCTTCACCCCGTCCCATCCCAAATCCTCATCCTGATCCCTTTCAAGTGCTATATAGTCGTAATGGCTTGGCACTTTCCCTCGATAATTTCCTCCCTCCTGGTAACCTGCATCTTCACCACCAGGTGGCAGCACTATTTACACCTTAAGGTTCCAACACCCAGACTTCCTCACATGAATCATGACTGTTCATGGATATTTTACTAGGCCAACTTACTTTCATTGTATGAAACATTGATTCTTATGTGTATTAACTCATGCATACATAAACAGTACAATTTGTGTTAAATCTGGATGATCTTGGGTAATCATCCAGGATCAAGTACTCACAATTCAAGTACTTGTCTAATTGTGCTTGCAGGGGATGAATTTTGGTTCTTTGATCCCACCCTGAACTGTCAGTCAGCTGGCGGACAGGTTTCTGAGCCTATTGGGCTCTATCATACTTACATTTGAAACCGTGTATGGAGTCTGCCTCCACCACATCACTGTCTAGTGAATTCTATTTAACTATTCTGATATTCAAAATTCTTTGTCTCGGTGGCTCAGGTGACTCGGTTACCACCTGTCCCCCCTTGTGCGACTGTCACCTGTGCTAATAATTATTTAGCTTGTCTTTCTTACCCGATTAATTTCCCTGAGAATTTTGCCCGTAGTAATCATACCTGCCTTTTGATGTGGGCTTCAGGAAACAGGTTCATTGTAATATTGACTTCTAGATAATTCTGTGTGTGTAATTATCCAGGTGTAGTTACAGGATGAGAGCTATGCTTGTGGTGTCCTATCTTCCCAGTTCTCTTTGTCATATGATGCTTTGAAACTTAGTACTGATGGTTTTGGCCTGCACGGCCTTCTCGCTTAACTTTCATATGACAGAGAATGAGACCCGTGATTTGGAACTTTATCCAGTATTATTTTCTTTGGTTCTTGTTCCAATTCCTGTTTGTGGATATCATGTTCCCTCTCACCCGTGGTAGTCAGTCTTGTTTTCTGTGGTGAAGTCAAGATGGCTTTTGCAGGTTCCTAGTGCTTGATTGGAAGGTTTCCTTGTCTTCTGTGTGGTTTTTGAGGGGATTCTTCTGATTATCTTCTGTGCTCTGTATTCTCTTATCCTTTCTTGGGACAGCTTCTTGGTAGCTCCACATCTAGTTCCCTTACTTTGCACAGCATCTTTTTGCTGATTTAAACTTTCTTTCCTGTATGCAGCTCTACTTAAAACATGGTGTGGGTAAAATGCTTTGAGATTTCTAGTGTCTCCTTTCATCCTGTTATAACTTAGCAACTTTTAGAAATGATCCCCACTGTGTCAGGAGATGGAAAGTCATACTGGCTTCAGTTTACAATATTCCCGAGAAAGTGCACTTTAGGCACTTCTTTGTGCCTAAAGAAGTGACGAAGTGCCCGGATCAGAAAGGTGCATTTCACCTACGCTTATCGTTGTTGTTGTTTTTCATTCTGTATGCACATGAATTATGAAATTGTAACTGTTTAGTTGTGGGTTTTGATTTGTAAAATATTGTTGTCCAATGTATATATTTTTTTTAAACATAGTGCACCTGTTTTCCTACATATAATTATTCAAGGTTCTAATTATGAGATGCCTTTAAAATAAATTAATTTTACAGAAAGGTATTGAAGATTTTTAATTACAGCTAGATATGCTATTAGAGTATAGCAGTCAAAAAGTTAAGCAATAGAAGATAAGATTAAACTTATCACTTTCAGAACTGCTGAGTTAACTAGTTTTACTTGTTGAAACTATGGAGCCTTTTAACAGTGTACAGTATTATGAGACGCAATATAATAGTCCTCATATGATAGGATAATTCTGTCATATACAGTACTGTACAATAGAATAAGTTCACTATATTTTATTCCATAAAATAAAAGAATTTTGGTATTGAAATTTGTATAATTTGTGTGAAAGGAATGATTACATATTTGATAAAAAGCATGGAGGTGCTAGAGAAGCAGTGTGAAAGAAAATTTATCCTAAAATTTAGTAATTTTCTTCTTGAATACTGTACATATTTTTTGTAGGAAGCACATTACAGTCCAAGTGTTTAGTTTTCACAGCATGATTTACACATTCATTATTGGCCAGCAGTAGTGGATATGTTATGTTTTGCTTGCTAGTATGTCTATGTACTCTTGTTGTATTTCATTCATTTAGAATATGGTCATTATGCATATCATTAATAAAGATAAATAGGACAGAACTTTGTGCCTTTTAATCATCATTGTTTTGATTGATTTGGATTGTTGGCATTTTGTTCGTCAAACTTATGCTACGAAGGGTCCAAATTGTTTCAAAAAGGGTAACTTGGCATATTCCTGGAGGATGGAGCACACTTGGTCCTTTCTCCATTGTCTAGAAGAGGGGCTTTATAGAGGATTGTCGGTGTACACAGTCCTCTCACCACAGAAAGATGCCATTTTATAGTACTCATTATTATCACCTGACATCAGTTCCTAGTGCAAGCTAGACATAAGCACTGCTAGTATGGCTAGCAGTGCAGTTGATGTTGCCCTCTAGATACAGTAAAGAGAGCTTCCAGCTACCAGATAATTAGCTGAAATACTGTGTGTTTATGCCTATACCGTACATTATACCTGTCAAAGATTCCGAGGATCAACGTCTCTGCGACCTGGTCGTTGACCAAGCCTCCTGGTTGCTGGTCTGGTCAGTCAGGCTGTTTGATGTGGCAGCCTGACGTACGAGTCACACTCTGGTTGATCAGGTATCTGTTAAAGGAGTTTATCACGTTCTCTTTTAAACACTGCAGAGGACAGCCAGTTATACCCCATGTGTGTAGAGGGAGAGTGCTGAAAAATCTTGAGCCTCTAATGTTGATTGAGTTCTCTCTCAGCATGCCTGTTGCACCTCTTCCTTTTCACCAGGGCTGTTTTGTACATCCTGCCATGCCTTCTGGTCTCGTGTGTTATTTCTGTGTGCAAATTTGGAACCAGTCCTCCTGGTATTTTCCCACATGTAAATTTGTTATATAATATATTTAATAAAATATAATCTCTACAGCCTACACTCTAGGTAATACAGATTTTACATTTTTAAATGCTCCGAATGATTTAGATGTTTTATTGAGTGGATTATAGCAGTAAAAGATCTTTCCATGCTCTTAAGGTCAGCAATATCTCCAGCTTTGAATGGGGCTGTTATTGCGCAACAATATTTCACCCTAGTGAAATAGTGAAATAGTGAAGTGAAATTTCACCCTAGTTCACTAGTGTCTTAAACAGTACTTTATAAATTTTATACAAAATATATGTGAATCAAGTACAGAAGATAAAGTAAATTTGTATAATTAGAATATATTCTAATAGACTTAAAAACTGAAATAAATGGAAATTATTAAGCTGAAATGAACTACTGTACTAAGTAACCCTTGCTTTGGACTTCGTTGATTTGTTATTCACCTCGTACCCATACCATGGGGGGGTAGTGGAGAGCATATTCACCTTTTGCAGATTGTTTATATAATTTTGTGTGTAAATATACATGAAATATTTTCAGTTGTTGGTATAAGAAAAATTCAAAACGGTTGAACCACCCCTAGATCTCTCTTTATCGGAATTCTTTAACCACTGAGCTGCCCAAAAAATTTATTTTATATGTCGGTGGTGCGGGAAAAAAAATTATTCCCAATTTTGTTTCACTTAATATTGGGAAAATGTGTTTGCAGATCATGGGAAAGAAAACAAAAATAATAAAAAAATGGTATATGTCATACTTTGACCAGAATGAATTGTATTGATGACATCAATACAACTTGTTAGCATGAAAAACTAAATGGATAGAGAAATAATGAAAATAAATTGACAAATTCCCATATAGTAGCATACCTCATTTCTACTGAAAAACACATCTTCTCTGGGCCACGACACCTGAACCACTAGAGGTAAAGATGGTTTACTTGGATTTTTGTGCTTTCAAAAGATGGAGAGACAAGCAGAGATAACAGGAGAGGCATTGGACTGGGTATGGGAGTATTTGCTGGACAGGAAACAAAGGGTCATAGAGAGGATACATCAGGCTGGAGAGGAGTGGAAAGTGGCATTCCACAGGACTGTTTCCTAATACCATTGCTCTCTTTAATTTATGTAAATGACCTCGCTAAGGAAATGAGCTCATACATGTTGACATTTGCAGATGGTAACAAATTAATGAGGAAAGTAAGAACTAAAGTACTGTAAGGTATTGTCATGAAGTAAGTCCTTGACAAACTTTAGGAGTGGGCAGATGAATAGCTGCTGAAATTCAATCCAAACAAGTATAATGAAATGGGTAAGGGAGCTAAGAGACCTGTACTTAATTATACCATTAGGAAAGGCAATTACAAGAAACGAAGAGAAAAAGACCTGGGTGTAGACATAATCCCAACACAAAAGGTTCATGTGAACAGAATAACAGCAGCATATAGAAAGGTGGCAAACATAAGAACATCATTTAAGAATCTGAATAAGGAGGCTTTCATGTACATACACTGCCTATGCAAGCCTTGAATATGCAGCTGGAGTTGCAC